ATTTTTCGTATCGTTTATTTTGTGAATTTATTTTAATTTGACTATTCAATAAAGAGTACACGTAGTCCGCCGCCTCCCCCCCCCCCCCCCCCCATCTCGAAAGTTTCAGGTCCCCCCTACCCCATCCAATGGGAGAAAAAAGTCTGAAAGAAACACTGCGTTCTACATTGGTTAACATATTTCGCAAAGCACCAGAGGGCCCAGGTCAAATTTCAATGGACGCCAATAGAGATCCCTAAATTAATTACAATTAATTAGTTATAATTTACATTTTCCAAAATAATGTTTTGAGATGGTTGTTGTTTTACAACACAAAGAACATCATTAATTACATCTTGAGTTATCAGTTAATTCACATGCTGGTTTTTTATGCTGAGCCTATCACGGGAGTATATTACGTATGACTACTCATCAATTAAAACTCTGGAATTATAGCCCTACAGAATCTGCCAATGTCTTTTCTTCTTCCACATCGATCAAACTCATGACCATTCAACGAAATAAAAGCGAAAATATCATTTTACGGCCCCTCAATTTACAACATTCGCGATTCAGTAGGGCATTTCTCATTAATATATATGCAGACCTGCACACAGACACACACACACACACATACATACACACATACACACACACACACACATATATATATATATATATACATATATATATATATATATATATATATATATATATATATACATATATATATATATATATATATATATATATATATATATATATATATATATATATATATATATATATATATGTATATGTATATCTGTGTGTATGGCCTATAAAACGTTTGTCCGTCACCCTAAAAACACTCCCCCATTCTCTCTAACATCCCCCAGCCATTCAAAACGTTTGCAAATAACCTTACACATTTACGTAACTTTTATTATTATTCAGTTTTACTTCATTTAATGCAATGCTTTACATGGATTTTTTTTTGGGGGGGGGGGGTTCAGCGGCTATAGACTCAGCCTAATGAATTAAACATGGCAGTCTTGATTCGATACTCACATAAAGTTGGATCAAATGTTGTGCAAAAATGAATGGCGATTATTTATTACGTTTTGTTTGGGGGAGGTAATGGGGTAAAGTGGGCGTGGAATTTTTTTTTCAAGTTTTGACGTACTAGGACGTGGGGGAGTCTTGACGTAACGGGTCGCTCTGTCTTCAAAAGTGTTTTTAATTTTTAAAAATCTATTGAGAACGAATGATAGAAAAAAATATTTGAATATTGAAGTATTATTTTTCAGATTTTCTGAAGAACAAAAAAGTTTATATATTGAGGTACGATATTTATCATTGAGACAGTGGGGAATCTTGATATAGTTGAGCTAAATCAGAATATCAAATGTCGGAAATCACTTTTTAAAATCTGGCTAATACAACGCGTTATTGTGGTAAGCTAAGCAGAAGCGAGGAATACTTGATTGTTCATCATGCTAAGCTTATTAAGAAAAACTAACTAAACTGCTCTCAACTGTAGTCTGCTTATCCGTATAACAAACAATATACCTTTCTAATTTGAAATATACGCTATTGACTAACAGCAATTACAACATTTTATTGTAGAATAGCAATTGGGGCATGGGTAGCAACCAAACGCCAGTTAGTCAATGAAAGTTCATCATGTAGGTTTATTTTTTTCTTAGACATAAACCCCAGCTCTGCATGAACTTGCTGGTCGAAATGCTATCAACGTCGGCAAAATTTGATGTACGCTACGACTAGCGGCTTCGTCTACAGGGACATTACTTCTGTCCGACTAGCGCCTCCATCTACAGGGACATTACTTCTGTCCGACTAGCGCCTTCATCTACGGGGACATTATATCTGGCCAGGCAAGCATTTCAATGAGCGGCAGGGCGTGCGGTCAGTCGGCTTTGTCCAGCGCAGGGGCTGGACACACGGAGAATGAGAAGCCACATGGGATTGTACTCACACTCAGGTCAATGAAGGGGAGAAGCTTAGAGGGGAATGGCCGTGTTTTGTTCAGATGGCCAGAGATGGTTAGAGGGGAATGGCCGTGTTTTGTTCAGATGGCCAGAGAAGGTAAGGGGAATGGCCGTGTTTTGTTCAGATGGCCAGGGGAGGTTAGAGGGGAATGGCCGTGTTTTGTTCAGATGGCCAGAGATGGTTAGAGGGGAATGGCCGTGTTTTGTTCAGATGGCCAGAGAAGGTTAGAGGGGAATGGCCGTGTTTTGTTCAGATGGCCAGGGAAGGTTAGAGGGGAATGGCCGTGTTTTGTTCAGATGACCAGGGAAGGTTAGAGGGGAATGGCCGTGTTTCGTTCAGATGGCCAGGGGAGGTTAGAGGGGAATGGCCGTGTTTTGTTCAGATGGCCAGGGTAGGTTAGAGGGGAATGGCCGTGTTTCGTTCAGATGGCCAGGGTAGGTTAGAGGGGAATGGCCGTGTTTTGTTCAGATGGCCAGAGAAGGTTAGAGGGGAATGGCCGTGTTTCGTTCAGATGGCCAGAGGAGAGTGTCCACGTTCAGCTGGCGTGATCGTCTTGTCACGTTTAGCCGACATGGTCATCTGAGGTATTGTCCCGTTTAGCCGACGTGGTCGTCTGAACGTGGTCGTCTGAGGTATTGTCACGTTTAGCTGACGTGGTCATCTGAGGTATTGTCACGTTTAGCCGACGTGGTCGTCTGAACGTGGTCGTCTGAGGTATTGTCACGTTTAGCTGACGTGGTCGTCTGAGGTATTGTCACGTTTAGCCGACGTGGTCGTCTAAACGTGGTCGTCTGAGATATTGTCACGTTTAGCTGACGTGGTCATCTGAGGTATTGTCACGTTTAGCCGACGTGGTCGTCTGAACGTGGTCGTCTGAGGTATTGTCACGTTTAGCTGACGTGGTCATCTGCGTGTGTGTTTGTGTGTGTGTGTGTGTGTGTGTGTGAGTGTGTGTGTCTATATAAGCCATTATATGCCTGTAACTAGCCTATAACGGCCTGTGTATATTATATTATTCAATGAGTATACAAGTGCAATTATTTTAGATTTACTTTCATTTAGTGACGGGCCTCCACATTTCAAAATTAACATTATAGCGAGGTCGGGTGTCACCCGGTGCGGCACTAAATGGTGTCACCCAGAGGCGTAGTAGCGACCCTTCCCGGGGACAAACTTTTAAGTTTTCGATTTGCACCCCCCCCTCAAGTTTTTTTCTATATGTTTTGCTATTTTTTGCCTTGGTGTCACCCCCCTAAATGGTGTCACCCGGTACGGTCCGCACCCTCCGCCCCCCCCCCCCCTCGCTACGCCCCTGACATTATACAATATAGCGACCAACGCTTTTTTTTTTACTATACTTTTCTCGCATATATAAATGCTTATTATTATTAAAGAATGTATGTATTTATTATTAATTTGTGAGATTGAATGTTATACTTTACGTTTTTGTTCTAAGTTTGCACAGCACACAGAAAACATTTGACGCACCAGCAAATCACGTTCATTACTGGTGTGCACCAAAACGTCACTGAAAGATCCATTGTTTGTTTGGATGAAGCGACTCCTGGATGATAAAACAAGAATTCTTTTCTAAAACTCGATAAAGTGACTATTGGTTTACAAAATCAATCATGTCTGACCGAAAACGTATCGGACTCATAGGCTCTGGTTGTTGGTGGGTTATTAGTGGTCACTTTTTTTAATTAGTTCAATAATAGATCTAGATCTTGATCTAGATCTAGAATCTACATTTTAGAAACTAGCTAGATTCTAGATCTAGAATTTACTCTACGAATACTATTCTAGACCAAGGGTCATACTCATAGAAAACCACCCCTCCCCGGGATTCAGCAGAGTTTCTTCCAGCCCCCCCCCCCCCCCCAACAAGATGGAATTTATATAGTAAAAATACTTTTACTACTGTCCGCCGAGGGATAGTGTGGTCAGCATTATGGCTTTATGCCCAACCGCCTTTGTTTCCCTTATCCGGATTCGAACTCAAGACTCTCGGGTTAGCAGTCTAGTTCTACCGCTAGTTTTAGGCCACGCCATCCCACACATGATACGTACAGTGCCTAAAAAATCTGCTGGTAGGCTAGGAAGGGTCAAACAATTAAGGAATCCCGAATCTTTAAAATCTATGGAATAAAATTATCAGCATAGCGGATTATTCCCCCCCCCTCTCCCCACAACCCCGCTCTCATGTTTTTCTTTCGAATTAATATCCAAAAGTGAGATATTATGCGCCTAAAGTAATGTTAAGATAAATAGCCAATCAACAATAGATTTTTTTTTATTCTAGAAGGTAAATAGACCTAGCCAGAGGCGTAGCGATGTGGGGGGGGGGGGGGGGCAGGGGGGACATATGTCCCCGGGCGCCGACCTTAGGTGGCGCCAAAATGGGTTGTAAAAGCAAATTAAAATGTCAATTTAGCTGCAGTTTGGGGGGGGGGGGTGCAAATTGAAAATTTGCTCGGGGGGGGGGGGGGGGCAAATTGAAAGTTTGTCCCCGGGCGCCGGGAAGGGTCGCTACGCCTCTGGACCTAGCTGTAGTTCTACGTGTTTGTTGGTAAGCCTATGGAGTAGTCAATAAATTTAGGTTTAAAAATTCGGACATATTTTAAATAATTAAAACTTTTGATTAGAGTCAACTGTGTTACCTGTAACATCAAAATAGCAGCTGGAAATATAATCAATATTATTGGCAGTTTTAACGGTCGCTTCTACCCTAAACTAAACTGTTTATCTTCTCACACTTTCTTACTTGGAAAACGTTCAAATAAACTTTTTACACTCATTTTTTTAAGATAAGCTAGGGGACATAATCACGGTATCTTTTATTATAAAGATTGTCATAAGTTACAACCCCTTTTTGTAAATCTTTGTTTTACGAAAATTGCATGATTTTAGTTTATTTAAAATGTATGTGTAGTAAATAATATACGCTAGTCTTGGATTACAATGTCAATGTTAAATTAAGATTTAATTGATTAATGAATATAAAAGTACGGAAACGAGTGTGAAGGCAGTTGTTGAAGGTCAAGGTCAATGTTGGGGATCCAGAAATAGGGCAGACAACACAGACCTATGTTGAAGGCTTTAAAAGTATTTTAAATATTTAGATCTATCAGTTCAGTTGTTAATTTTTTACTGCAAAATGTCAGAAGTTAAAAAGCGTGTCTGTATAATTGGTTCTGGTAACTGGTAAGTTCATTAAGACTTTTTGAAGTTAATAAGCGAAGGTCCTTGGAAACCTATTATTACTAGATCTATTAATTATAAATAATTAATTAAAGTAGAGTATGCCTACCTATAGATTTAGATCTACCTACAGTGAAACAGTCGACAGCAGTAGTTCACTGGTTAAGCTAGGCTGGTAGATCTAGATCTAGAGTCTAGATTTGGATTATTTAGTTAGTATAGTAAATAGTAGTTAGATCTAGATTCTAGTAGACTATTATTATTCTAGATTTCATAGATTAGCTCAAAGACCAACAGTAAAGGTTAAAAAAAACATGAATTTTGCTTGCCCTTGTTGCAGTAATCAAATTTAAATGGCAAAGGCTATTCCCACCCCACTGATAGCCGACCACACAACAGGGCCCTAGCACCAGATGACAGATGCTAAATAAATAATAGAGTAAAGTGGCGTCTGCGGACAGACATAGCAAAAAAAACGGAAGTGCCGATTTCCATTGAGCGCCATTCAGTAACCGCTTCACATAGAAACAAACCGAAAGTACCGCCTCACTCCGCATTCTTTCTAGTTTAATGACGTCTGATTCATTTTGTATTCATACGCATAGCATTGAATGTATTAACATTTTCAGTGGTGAGACTCTGTGCGGACAGTAAGTGCACTTTTTTTTTACATTTTATTTTCTGTGCGCACACTTGCTCCTTATGCGGACAAGGCATATTTTGTTCATTTTATTTCTATTTAAATGATTGAAATAGACACGTTTGATGATCAAAAATATTTTTAAAACCTAAAAACATTACTAAAAACTTATAGATCTAGATTTAGACTTAAATTTATTTATAAATCTGGAGTATCAAGATTAGTTCAAAGCTCCTTTTTACTTAAAGTGTAAGAAATATATTCTACTCTGATTTTTCATTAGTGTCCGCAAAAGGTTAACCCTCAAAAAAGATGCGGACACCCCAATTTTTCCTCTAAGATGGCTTAAACAACCTTAACTATGATATTTATAGCTTTCTATATATATATATAAGCTATTTATAGTTAACCCAGTTAACTAAGCTATGATTGGTTCGATTTATTCCTCTAATCCGGAGACTAGTGCTCTTCATCCGGGTGAGGTTCCCTTTCATAAAACGTCATACATCGCAACTTTGAAAAATTCCAATTAATCTCCCTATTGAGTGAAATAGAAGAAATGGACTCAGATGTGTTTAAAAATGGACATGCTTTGTGTTGTTTGCATTAGTTTCCTATAAAACATTCATACAATTATTGTTTAAGCGAAAAACAGCAAGGTGTCCGCACAGAGGCAACTGTCCGCATACGCCACTTTACTCTAGTAAATATTAAAATATGACTCATAATGACTGGGAATAATATCTTACAATAATAAAAGTATTTATTGTGACTGGGGAGTGAGGTATAGATTAAGAGAGCAGTGCTATTTTTTTTCGAAGTGTCTACTCGGAATAAGATTTTTCGGCAAAAGATAGTTCTGCGCATGCGCAGTGACCTAGGGTTAGGGCTAGAATGAGGGTTAGGGGTAGGATTAGGGATAGGATTAGGGCTAGGGTTAGGGATAGGATTAGGGATAGGGTTAAGGATAGGATTAGGGTTGGTATTAGGGTTCTGCGGTTGTAAACACACGCATGCGCAGTACCATCGAAAACATCGCCGCTAAGTTGTAGTTTCTCTCCATTGCGCATGCGTATTGCATGCGTATCTTATTCCGACTAGAATCGGCCATTTTTTTTATTGTGTTATATTTTTAATCTTTTATTTAAAAAATATGATTGTTAAAGTAAAGTTTAGTTTAGCTTTTCTTTTAGGCTCATATCAGACATAGATCTAGATCTATCTGATCTGCTACAGGCTACGACCGGCTACGTGGGTCATAGATGATCAATTATACACTCTAAATCTATACTAGACTATTAGACTAAAATTAGATCAAGTAATTTTAAAATAAATGATACTAATTAAGCATCAGTTTAGTTGGCTGTTCACATTGCTTGTTATTCAACTATCAATTACCATTAAAAATTAACAGAATAAATATCAGGTGAAATAGAATGTCTTTTTCATCAGTTTCCATCACACTTTTGTGTTTTTTCTTTTCTCTAAGCAAAAATCTAGGGGACAGATTTTTTTTTTTTAATGCCTTTATACCAACAATTACGTCACAAATGAAAAAACAATTAACAAAAGTAACCCTTCCATGAGTAACTGGTAATTAATATATTTTGATAATAAGAGGCATAGCAATAAGGCATCTGATGGGTTTGAACCAGCACCTTCCGGCACGACAGCCACTCCCCAAGTCCGCCTGACCACTCATCTTCATCTTTAGGGTATTTTTAACATTAAACCTAGCAAAAATTGCTGGTAAGGCAATAATACTATTCCTGCCCCCCACCTGTTTTTAACCCTCCATAAAACTTTTTTGTAGGTAACATAGATGACTTCTTAGATCTCAGCGCAACAAAATAGCATGTTATCATTATGTCATATAAATGACCATCATGGTCCAGCAGGGAGGAAATCACAGAGGAATCAGTAGCCCTCCCTTAAACATTCCTCACCTCCTTTAAACCATTACGTTATCACCATGAAACTTCTGATCCCTTTGTAGATAACATAGATGGCTGTTCTTAGATCTCAACCACCCCTTTTTTTACATCAAAAAATCTAAACTCAGAACAGCTACATGCTATGCCTTCTAATAGGCCTACTTTAAACTACAAGACTGTAGGCCCTACGTAGACATACAATTGGACTGGGTGCAATGGGGTCTAGTGAAAGCATAAACTAGTGTTTGGGTTAGGAAGTAATGAGTTTTATTGTGTAGTTAGTCTAAACTAGGATATGCCTCATGCCTTGGCTCCACATGCCCCAAATGCTGAGATTTGGGTATGGCTATGAATACTAAATTGAACCAATTTAAACTAAATTTGTAATGCCCTTTGTTATTATTTTTTTATGTGTAAGATGTGTTTGTATAATGCAATATTTTCAATTCTAAAAAATGCTTGGATTAGTAGAAATCTTTTAAAATACACAGGTGCTAAAAAGTACCCATTATGAATTCATTATGAAAGATTTTGAGGCTTAGAATAAAGTAAATAATTTCCGATTTTGCAGTTAATATGAAATGACAAAAAATATGCATTCATTGAAATGTATCAAATGTATTGTAGTGTCTATAAATAATAGCACAATTATGTATTATTCCTTTTTTTTTTTTGACTAGCACTATGCTATCATTTAAGTATGATTAAAGTACTCGTATATATAATTCTATGTAAATTTGAAGACCCTGTGTTTCAACTTTTTAAATTTTGTTTTTTTAAATGCTGATAATATTTTTTCTTATCTTAAGGGGCTCTGCCATTGCCAAAATTGTTGGATCAAATGTTGCAGCCAATGAGAATTTGTTTGAGCCTGAAATCTTGATGTATGTGTATGAAGAGATTGTCAATGGACAGAAACTCACTGACATAATCAACACAGAGCATGAGAATGTCAAATACTTGCCTGATATCAAACTTCCAACCAATGTGGTAAGCATCAGTCCTTCGTATTCAATTTTTTTTTCTGTTCTAGAGAGATCTCTGGCTGGTAGTTCCGTAGTGTTTGTCAGATACCAAGTATTGTTGGCTTGGGGCAGCCACACATTTAGGGAGAAAAAAAAATTCCATATCAAAACATCTAACCAATGCTCATTGCAGATTATTCTTGGATAGACAGAATGAAAAGCAGGCTTAAGTGTGAGTCTTTGCAGCAAATGGCACATAACATGTTAACATGCAATACCTGATTGTGTTGAAGGAAATCATTATTAGTACTCATAAGAAGCAGTGGTCTACACATAGCTGTTAAGTGCAAGATCAAAACATAGTGTCTTTCCTACTATACTGTTCATGTTCCTGATCTTTGATATTTTATAAACTCAAATACAAGATTTAACTACTAAATTTACAAATTCCCAACATCTGTTGACTGTTTGTTCTGGCATTTTGAATACCAAACAAAAATAATAGTTTTCCATGATTTATTTGTCTCACTCAGTTTATTTTTTACTCTGCTGGTTTTTTTTTATTTTGCCACTGCATGTAAGTAAGTTATAAATAGCTTAAGAGATGAAAGGTCAAGATTATTGAATCGTTTGAAGATCATTTTGATGTTACAATCAAACAGATTGCTATCCCTGATGTGGTCAGAGCTTGTACCAATGCAGACATTCTTATCTTTGTGCTACCTCATCAATTTGTGAGAGATACTTGCCTGAAGATGAGAGATTTTATCAAACCTAATGCTCTAGGAGTTTCACTCATCAAAGTAATTACTCCTTTTAAAAATTGTAATATGTAAATAAATAAATTTGTGGTCTTATTTAATTTTTTTTTTTAAGATTTTGGTTTCCAGATAAAAAATAATAATTCTTGCCTTTAACACAGGGATTCATTCTGTCAGAAACAGAAGGGATTCAGCTAGTCTCAAAGGTCATAAGCGAAACTTTGGGAATTGAAACTGCTGTCCTAATGGGTGCCAATTTGGCAACTGAAGTTGCCAGTGAAATGTTTTGTGAAACAACGATTGGTGAGAGATTTTTACTGTTTTGCAGAAATTAAACTAGAAAGTGTTGTAAATAAAAGAATCTGCTTTTACTCTTACTATAATTATTTTAGATTTTTACTGTTATGTATTGTTGACAGCACATAAAATGACAGAATTTATTTTCAAATTTTTTATTAGCTTGTGGGAATGAAAGCTACAAATCTGTGTTGAATTCATTGTTTGAGACGCCATATTTTCGCTGTAAAATTATCAGAAATGTAGCAGGAGTTGAGTCTTGTGGAGCTTTGAAGGTAAACAGATCAAAATTTATCAACCAGAAAATGCTACACTTTGTTTACGTTTTCAAGAGACTATTCTTTATTAAAATTAAAGGCCTATAGCATATTAAATATATTAATCAATACATTTTATGCTTTAAATTCCTCTTTTTTTTGGGCAGAATGTAGTAGGTATTGGTGCTGGTATTGTTGATGGGTTAGGCTACGGAGACAACACTAAAGCTGCTGTTATCAGACTGGGCTTGATGGAGATGATGAAATTTACTAAAGTTTTTCTTGGAAGTAAGCCTCTACTCATTTTGTCCCTTCCTGCCTGACTTACTTTTTGTTCTCTATTCCTCAGCCCTACATATCACTATTACAATCAGTGGCTTCCTGACTAGATATTATTTTGCCATGTGCACAAATCTTATGCGATGAGAAAAAAATATTAACATCTAGAGTTAAAGCAGTCCTGTTCAGTTTATTATTATCAAACTTATTATCAAACCAATTTACATCTTATTAAACTTGTGATTTTATTTACTCTGCCTAACCTAATAAACTTCATTTGCATCAACCTATCTCAACCATAATGACATGACTAGGCCGTAGAGATTAACTAAAACATTTGTCCTTTTTTTTATAATGTACAAAAGAGAAAGAAAGTTTGGCTATTCCTCTTTCAAATAAACATTATGTGCAGTAAAAGTCAAATACTTTTGTATTCGCAAACAGTACTCCTGTTTGATGGAAACTCTTTCTGCTGGGCATGAGGGAATTGTTTTAGAAAGTAACATTGTACATGACGGCATGAGGGAACAGTTTTAGAAAGTAACATGGGCATGAGGGAAGGGAAATGGAAAAATAATAAAGTATGCACTCAGTGCTGTAAAGGTATGGCGTGGTCTAGCGGTAGAGAGCTGGACTGCTAGCCCGTAAGTCTCGAGTTCGAATCAAGTCAGTAGATCGTCCCTGAGTCCACCCAACTCTGATGGGTACCTAACTCATGTTAGGGAAAGTAAAGGCGGCTGGGCATAGTGCTGACCACACTATCTCTTCATATGCTGAGGTAACAGAAACAAGTGAACTCTACTTCACTTGCCCTATAGACCGTCAGGTTTGAAAGGGAAATTTACCTTTTACCCAGTGCGGTAAGGGCTACTGGCATTGGTTTAAAAATTGTTTTTCATGTCAAATGTAGGCCTACAAGAGTGGGAGACTGTATGTCTACTTTTTTTTCTGTGTACAGCTGGTATTACTGTATACTTTTATTTTGACATCAGCCGATGACAAATCAGTTTTCTTTGAGAGTTGTGGTATCGCTGACTTAGTTGCTACCTGCCATGGTGGCAGAAATCGTCTGCTGGGAGAAGCAGTTGTCAAATCAATGAAGGTGGGGAATTACTTTTTTAATTGAAATTAATGATTAAAAATAACACACTTACTAAATATTTAAAGATCTCTTATAAGAATCCAAGATTGGTGGCTTACAATAACAGTTTGTTCGTGAAAATGCTAACATTACATTTTTTGTATTCTGAAATTTGGTGCATATTTTAGCCTCTCTATTTAAAAAATTATATTCACTTCTATAACTCTTGATTCCAGAAACGTGGAATGGCTGGCGTGGTAATAATCTGAGAATTTGTTCATTCATGGTTTTACATTCATGTTAATTCATTTGATATTCATGTTTACTTTTAATTTTATGGGCTGATTCTTTTGCCCCATCAAGAGCTAAAATGTGTTTCTTTTGGTGCTATAATAATGTAAACATTACATCTTAATTTGTTCTGTTTAAATAGTTTATTTACAGAACATAACATTATCTTACAGTACAGTTGCTCTGAAATGTTTCACTTCATTGAATCAATATACTGCTCTGTGTTGTTTATGTTTTATGTGACATTTACGTAAATGGAATTTAATTTTAGAAAGCATTATTAAAAACTATTTTATTTTTAAATTTATTAGGATATTCGACTTTTGGAGAAAGAAATTTTGAGAGGACAAAGTTTTCAAGGTCCACTGATCGCCAAAGAAATTTATGGTTACTTGAAAGAAATCAATATGTTAGATCAGTAAGTGAGACTTTGTTATTATCAGTATCAGAGGGTTTGGTATCTTTCTTGGCTCTTTCAGTGTTGTTGATCAATACTGAACTTTCCAATTCTTTACACACAAAAATGAAACTGTCCTATTCTGTTGAAAGTAATGTTAACCATCATATTCTGCAAATTTTGATTGATCAAACTGAAGTATTTATTAACAATTATTTTCATAATAAATATTATGTTTATCTTGTACTTGACTTGATACTTTAAAACCCCCTGAGGAGCAAAGAGCTGCAGCTGCAACTCTCTACCATACTTTTAGACAGCTCACTTTAGCTGAATCCATGTAAGCCCAGCAGTGCTTGCTTCTCCTTCCACTGTTCTTCTTCAGTATTCATTTGGTCAGCCTACTGTTTTTCCCTTGTGTGTTCTAGTCCAACACCTGCAATGTTAACCTCTTAACTCCATTTACAGGCTTTAATATTTCTGTCAAATAGGCTGTTGCTTTGTGGTATGCCATTGGATTTCGTTGGTTATTTTGTCTAGAATCTTATCTTAGAATTTGTTGTAGACATCTGTTAACAATTATTTTCTGTTGGTATTTGACCTGATAACCTCCCAGATCTCTGAACCTTAACATTTGTTTAGAAGATTCTTATTTTGCTCTGAAATGACAAGGATGTGCAACTCCATATCTGACCTTCTTGAAATGGCTTTTTATGTCCTTGTCTGCTCCCCAATCCTTGTTTATCTCCCTTCCCAAACATGTGATTTTGTTTGTCTTTTGTATGTTCTCTCCTTTTAGCTAAATGGATAGGTCCTAGTTGTTATTCATTCTGATGACATTTGTTTTATTTCTATTGATTTTGAGTCCTACTTTGGATTTTTCTTATAGTCTATTCAGTTTGGTTTTGGGCTTGTTGTTTGTGAGATAGTAATGTTTATCTTGTATATAAAGAAATATCCTAATAAAAGTTTTAAAGCTTTCTATGTTTATCTTGCAGAAAATTGTTAACTGCTTTACAAGATTTATTAGGACCTTTTATGTTTGAGTGTAACACATTTACAAAATGTATGCATATTTTATTTTACCATCTGGTACCTTGGTAACAGTTAGTAAAATAACATACAACGTATGTGGTTTAACTGACCATTGTTTGAACCTTGCCAGGTTTCCATTGTTTGTAGCAGTACACAGGATCTGCACACGGGAGGTTGACCCTAGGAACTTTATTGACTGTCTACGAGACCACCCTGAACATATGTAGGCTTTACGTCCATATTTTGTCATGTATGAACCTGCTTTCATGATATTATTGTGATTTCCAATGCTCTCTGTGGCTTGTGACAAGTCTTTGGACTTAACACACATTCATATCATTTCAATACATGCCATGTAGGTATGTTTATATTAGCTCCCCTGTAATGGAGCTTAGCTATTATTCAAAGTAATTGTCAATATAAAGTGTAGTTAGATGATAGAGAAGTATTATGTAATAATGTTATTTTACAGGATTTAAAGTTTCTTACTAAAACTAGTGTTGCCTTATAACAGTTGAGTATTATTTAGTAGTTTATTCAGATACTTATGTTATTAATATAATTTATTACATTTTTTTAGTTGTAGCTCGGTAGAAATGTTTCTTTAAATCCTTGCAAAAGCAACATTATTAAACTTTGATAATCATATAAGGATCTATATGTATATTAAAAATGTGTTTGCAATTGATTAAAAACATAAATGCTTTTTACAAAAGCACTTTTCATATAGTAAAGTTGATATTTTTACAAATTAATATAATTTTTTAAAGCTGTGATTCCTTATCTTTTTTCAAAGTTTTTTTGTCTTTATAACATTACATTTTAAATTAAGGTGATACTCTTCAGGGTAGCTTTATTTATATTCATTATTTTATTTTAAATTACACTCAGTTAGTAATGTGGCCTTCTGTTATAATGTCCTGATACCTATGCAGAGATTATATAACAAGTAGTTTAAAATTACAATTTCTGGAAGGAGAAACACCACATTCTTTTGTTTATACAGCAAACAAAATTTCTTAGTATAACTTAATGTCTATTTAGTAAACTTTTCACCATAATAATTTCATTTTCTAATCTTTGGAAAAAAAAACTAGTTCTGTTAACGCTTAGCTCAAATTAATATTGTGACAAATTTTCTACCCTTGTTTTTTATCAGCTCAGATTATACACATTTAATTTTTTTAATAATTCTGTTGTTTTTTTTTTACTTGTTTTACTAAATAATTGGTATTTTAAGATGCAAGTCTTAAATTAACTTTAACCAGAAATCATAACAATCCAGTATGATCCGATCAATTGGCTAAAGAAGTGATTTTAGAAGAAACACTGATAAGTACTACAATGATTTTTTCTGTAGGTATCCTGAAGTTTTTGCCATCATTTACTTTTTTATATATTTAGTTTGCATTTGAAGTTTATACTGTTGCTGGGTGACAAGTATTATATTTCTTAACCTTTAATATTGGAGATGTAGAAGTATTTTCTAATTGTTTTCTGTTTCTGATGGGGGAAAATCTCACTTTTTCAAAAAACTTTTATTCAGTTGAGCTTTTTAAGACTTTTACTAGCTCTATTCATGAGCAAATCCACTCAACTCAAGTACCTGAAAAGCTGGTTGGGTAGTTACTCCACTCATCTACCCTCTATATTTTAAAGTTGTGAGAAAGGGTTAACTATAATTTTATTTGATGTGTGATTTACTGCTGTATCTTGTAAAACAATTTACATGTAAATAGTCAAGTTCAGAAACCTAAGCTGTAGTAAAGGAATAAAAAGGTTATGAATTATGTTTGTATTGAAATGTAACCTAAATTTTCCTATTGAATGTATCATTGACCTATTGGTATGATTCTTTAGTGTGCTCCTTATTAACCTTTCTCAGCAGATAATCAACATCCTTGCATGTATTTGTCTAGTGCAACAAGAAATTTGTTTTAACTCAGGATTCATTTAGTTGAAAGTAATGTATTTTCAGTACATGAAAATTGGACCTCTGAATGGAACTGCTAGCTAGCATGTAATTTTTTGAAGATTATTCACTGCATTGGTGCATTCCAACTAAATCTAGTACATTTTTTATGTACTGTAAGAGTGAACAAATAAGAATATGCTTAATTATTTTTTACAATTACGATCTTAGTGAATTTTTTTTTGTCATTTCCATCCAGTTTTACACCCTGATTGTTTTATGAATTTCAATAACAATATCAAGCTAACTTACAATGCCTAATTAAGTTAATTAGGTTTAGAATAAGCAGGTACCTGTATACAATTTATCTTGACACTATACAAATTATCTATCTTTAGAATCAATGTCCATTTTTATCTTAAAAAAGCATTGTATGGTTTTCCTATCCTAAATTGTAATGAATAAATTGTTTTGATCTTTGGTTCTATAATACAGGCTTTATTTTGTTTTAATCATAAGCTGGATTTTAAGATTGTCAGGTGTAATGACTTAGCTACCTGACTGCTAAGTAACAAAATCTGCCTCAGGGCAAGCAAATTAATCAGCTGTAATGCTGGTGTAGACAAATCTATACAGCTTATCTTTTGCCACCTTGTGGGAATCCTGTATACCATTTAAAAAACCCCACTAATTTTACTGATTAAAACACTATACAAAGATAATCAGAACAAATCCAGAATAGTTCCATATTTTATTTACAGAAGAAATTTGCAAATGGGCATTTGAAGTTGACTGTGCAGATGAAATGTATTCTTAGAGTGAATAGTTAATCTTCAAGTGATGGTTCATTGTTGCTGAAAATTAAATGACAAGACAACCATACAGAACCTAAATCATGCATTTACTCGCTCAATGACTGCATGGAATAAGGCAAATTGTGAAATGTGAATTTCCAGCTGCAGTAGCATTAACAGTGCCCATACATGGTTGGGCATCAAATACCTGAGTAATTGCACACAATAAGCAATCAAGCACAACTTTCATTAATGTACACATTGTGGCAAACACCCACAAGATGAAGAAGAGGGACACTCAACTCATTCAGTACACCACCCAAAGCAAGTTTTAAAAAGAGACCTAATGGTTTAATAATTACTACAACAGTGAACTAGTTTTTAGCTGATATATACAACATATTAATTACAAAGACACTTCTCTAAAAATTGCAATTTCAAAATAAACATGAAACAATTGCCTGCACATTAGAAACTTAATAGAATGCAGAAGGGAAGCCAAAAATTTTGATGACATGCATAATTTCTTAATTTAAACATTTTACTCAAGTATACTATGAAAAGTAATCATTTGGAATGATAACCCTTAAAATCACATGATCCAAAATCAAGTGAAGGAAACCAACCTTAATACAAATAATTGCATTCAACATATACTGTAGTGTATTTATAATTATATTTATTTAAGCAATTTAGTTTCCAAAGATGAGAACATAAAAAATATAATAAATAGATGCTTGCAATGATGTAAAAATTTCCTTGGCCGGGTAAACAGGAAAGTCCAAACTAGCACATGAAGAAAAACAATTAACTACAAGATCTGTATACACCCAACAGATCAAGTTCTATTTAGGTTTCAATCTTCCTCTCCTTCTTCTTCGTCAGACTCTGTAAAATTTAAATACCAATTAAATTTCTTCACAAAATAATCATGTCAGATGTTAATGGATAACAAGCTTTGAAAATGCTCAAAATATTGCTCAGTCGAGTTTAAAATGATAATCATTTACCAATACTGGAGTAATACGAACGAGACAAATTAATCATCACTGCAACAGAGCATTACTAACAAATTGGGTTAACTTTTAATCAACAGTTTAAAAAATGTGTAAATCTAAAAAATCTCTCACCCTCCTCTGCATTTTGTAGCCACTCGACAAACTTTTTCATCTGTTCCAGGAAGACACTCTTACCCTTGGCACTGTGGCTATCTTTGTACCACTTGAGGATCACATCTTCGCTAATAACTTCATCTAAAAAAAACAATGTAACAGAATCAGTACATTTCAATAACTCAATGTAAAGCAAGAATGAAAAACCATACAAAAGGGGGAAAAACTTACTTTTGTACAGTAGCATGATGATTTTTTGAAAAGATTTTAAGAAGTTCATGTTTTCATAACAGAATTCCTGAACTTTGAGCATCAGGGCAAGTTCAGACTTGCCAGATCTGGCAGTGACCTTAAGTAAAGGACAATATTGACGAAGATGTTTGAGGGCCTGTTCTGCCACTAGGTCTTCTTTTTTGTTCCACTCAACAGCAGCCATTACAGAGTTCCAAATCTGAAAAATAAATAAACCTTTAATTGCTTATCTTGATACTTTATTTGTCTCAGATATAAAGTGAACAGCACACTATTTTACATGACATGATTTACAGAATTATGACAGATTTATAAAAGAACCTACAGAAATGGTTACTTCTGTTTCTGACATTCCCTGTTTCTCAAGCAAATCCGTAACATATTCAATCATCTGGAAGGAAGAAAAAGAACATTTGTAAAAGTTATTAGGTAATATAGAAAAATTTTGTATTGGCATTACACCTAACTTACAGCCACTTGAATGACATAACTTACATCTGGCACTGAGCTTTCATCCTTTATCATATCTGCCAGGTTTTTCTGGGCTTCTTTCTTTGCCTTCGAAGCCATCTGAGCCGTTTGCATGTCTGCGATGGCTCCAAGGCCACGTTCCCGAAAGAAGGAAGCGAAGTTTTCCTGATTCCTCTTGTTTAGGGGGAATATTTCCTAAAGAAGCAAAATAAAGATTACTCTAAGCTTGACAGTATTACCCCTCTAAAATCTAGATTTAAAAGGTGAAATGATTTTACTTACCATAAGCCTAGTGTCTACCTGCTGTTTTTTCAGGGCTGCACAAATGGAATTGATGTCCTTTTCTGCTAACCAAGTTGCAAACATTGTGACAGCAAACTCTTGCGAGATTCCTAAAATGGATAATTATAAACGTTATATTTTCAAAAAGGTACACAAAATTATAAAATTAACTGAACAAAGCCAAAACAATTTTGGAGAAACAATAAGTCCATTTTTAATTTTTTTAAATATGCTCACCACAATGCTCAGTAATAAAAAATGTGTAATCAATTACCAACAATGGCATAATACGAACGAGACAATTGAATCATCACGGCATTTGAGCATTTCAATTACTGTACATTTAAAAGTGTCTACATTGTATTTAAAAATATGCAATGTCATTACCTTCCTTAACAAGATGGTCCTCAAATAAACTGAGCAGGATGCGAGGTGTACATAATGCATTGGCTAAAATAATACCAGTAATCCTAGCCAGTTTCTCTCTCTCTTCAACTGAAAAGCCTTTCTGGAACATTAGGATCTAAGAAAGAAAGTTTTCACATTATAGATGTTATTGTAAGAAAATATTTTTAAATTTTCAAAAAATTTAAGGAGACATTTTTCCTACCTTTTTCAGGTCATCCTCAAATGCTTTTTCCAGATACTTGTACCTTCGGATGAGCTTGTAAAATACCTTTAAGTAAGAATATTTCATTGAACTAGAATTATTAGCACCCAAAATGTTATCCGTGATAAAATAATTGCAATAGGTGTTTAATGTTTTAAAAACATGGGACTAATGATTCATTTTTAAGAAAATAATTTTTTAAATCCTTAATAAAATAAAATAATGCAACCTACATTGTAAAATTTGGTAAGCTGGACAAGATCTCCATCCCACCTGAACACACAAATATCTGACCTGACGGGCTTGCCAGAGTCAACACTCTCAACTATAAAACCTCCTGGGGCTAAAAAATAAATATCATAATCAGATTTTCTCTAAACGAATTTTTAAACGCTTGAAACTATACTGAAATCTACCAATCAATAATAGTTACCAAGAATCCCCCCAGCAAACAAAATATCGAAGAGGACTTCTGCATATCTCCTGTAATTGAGTTTTGATCCTTCTCTGTCCAGATAACGAGAAACCTGGTCTAGATCTCCCCCACATTCACCTAGCCCTGCAATGATGGAATCTCGAAAAGCTGTTGGATCGTACTTTTCTTTTTCATCTGAAAAATATAACCAATGATACTTTTGTGTAAGGAACAACTCTGGCAAAATAAAGGTGGTAAAGTAATAAATCAAAAATGTATTTGAGAATAAAATTGTTATGCCTACCCCTTTTTCGGGTCTTCAGACGGGTGCCTGATAGTGTTGGTTTTTCTGCCTTTTGACTCATATACCTGACAAAATGAGGTTAAAGTTTTACATTAGTGGAATCTGCTGTCTTTTTCAGCTTTAAATTTATAATAAAGGGATAAGTTGTATGCTCAGAAAGTTTAAAATTAAATCATTAACCAAACATGGTATTAATACGAACGAGACAAAAATGATCATCACTGCATACAATAAAAATACTTAACGTTTTGCTCAATGTTACAATTTATGCAGCTTAGTATAAACAAGCTAAGCTATTAGAGTATTAGTCAAATAAGTGACATGTGAGGTGCAAAGGTCACCAAAAATTTTAAGGCATGGCTGTGAGCCCTCAAGTAACTTTTTTTTTACAACTGAAGTTAGTTTACACTTCAGACTCCTGCTTGTGTTTTATTTGTGTCAAAACACCCTTTTTGATACTACTATGACACTGCAAAGCATAGATAAAGATAAGCCTACCCATTACAAATTTAAGACCTAAACAAAAAATTCAGTTTCAAAAGAATTCATGGCACATGGAAAACATGAATAAGTGCACATCTGGAAATAAAATATAGATCTAGATCTATGCCATATTTGTGTTTCTAGCTCTATTCTGGTATACTAGATCTAGGGTAGACTGCTCTAACTTCGACCGAGTTCTAACTTCGACCGATTTCTTACTATGGGCGGAAAAAAAATATATAAACATTTGTACAAACACCATTGGCCAAAATAAATTATATATTTAGTTACACACTTGAATTGTGGGGGATTTTCCTTATTTAAGTTCATATCTATTTTTAATCGTTTTCGCGCTCTTGAACGGCAAATATTAAGTACAACTCGCCCGTGAATTTTCTCGCGTGAAAATGATGAATTCAGTTTTTGCTGTCTTAGGGGTGTCGTGCTTCACAATGCTCAAAACACATTTAATTTATAAAATAAAATTTTTAAAATTATATTAACGCTTATAAAATAGGTTGTAGTATATGTGTGTGTTTTTATTTTTTTTAATTTAATAAAAATGTAAAAACAAATATTGAAAAACAAATCGGTCGAAGTTAAAACCACTTAAAATTGGCATAGTTCTAACTTCGACCAACTGAAAAACTTGCCCCTAAAAACATAATTTTGCATGAATTATCTTAGTTTAATTATAGTTTTATTGAATAGTTTAATCAGCAGAGCATTCCTTTTTCATAAGATCTAAATGTAACTGAAAATAATAGTGCCATATGTAAAAGACCTAACGATTAATACCCCCACCCCACCCTAGTCAAGCCTGCGCCATCTATTCATTATTTAGTATAGCTATTTTATAATTAAACAGCATTTCTACCCCAATATAGCCCTACACATTTATTTTATTTTAATTCCCTGATATTTTGACAACGTTAAACCATAGATTTATTGGAAAAAAACAATAATTTACATATAGGCTTATAGCGGTCGAAGTTAGAGCAAGGCGCTGGTCGAAGTTAGAGCAACCCGGTCGAAGTTAAAACCAAACATAACGAAGTGAGGTCTATGTCTAGACTTGCATATAAGAATTATTATCTTAATGATGATTGGTTAACTATTTATACCAAACCAATCGGCAGAGGATAACGTTTTTAATGGTGTAAAAATGAAACCTCTATGTTGATTAGTTTACGGAATATACCGAAGAGAAGCGAATTTACGGCTCGGGCGAAAACGAATCGGTCGAAGTTAGAGCAGTCTACCCTATAGTTTTTAGCAAAATCTTTAAGCTAACTGTTGATTGGTTCAAGTTTTGCTGCTGATCCTAAACTTGGTCACTTCATTCATGTGGGGTAGTGTAAAAGGAGAATACTCAATACTGCATACAGCACAACTTAAAAATTGCCCTATGCCTCAATTTCCTGAAAGTGGCATAAAAGGATGACACGGAAATGTTCATTAACGTAAAATTAACATAGGAAGTGATGTGTTCTCTCATAAAAAAAAGCATCCAAATTAATAAAATAGCTGGATCTGCGAACAGTCCAAGAAACCTGCAAGTGATTTCAACATTGATAATTCTAGGGATTTTGGTAAAAAAACACTAATCATCATATAAAAATAAAAATTACATATTCTTGTAGAGCTCAACTATATGAAAACAAAACAAAAAAGATTTTCCGTCTAGCTCAAATAGTTTTTTTTTAGCGAATTTTTTTGTGAGGGGTGGAATCCCCTTGCTTTTGCATTGGCCAATTGTGACAAATGATGGTATACCTGAATAAATTGAGCATAATTATTTTACTTGCAGTTGTATTTTGTTCATATTTGCAGAGTTTAACTAGAATGATATATAGAACTTGTAAATGCTATTGAAATGAATAAAAATAATACAGAACTGATATTTTTGTGTTGGCTTCCTCCCATAACCCCAAAAAACTGTGTGCTGCGCAAATATGAAAATGTTTCTAAAGCCATATTTTATATAAATACAGCAAATGAAAGAACTACAAAGTTAGAAATCTAAAGTAAATGACTTGAACACTGTTATGTGCATATAATTGCCTCATTATTTTGGGCAGGTGAAGTAGAGTCCATATATAAAAGCCATTTTGTAATAAAATTTGAAGTTATCAGATCAATGTTTTTATGTGTGAATTGTGTATGGATTCTGATTTTCAGCATATAACTATATCTAAGGGTAAGTAGAACTTGAATACTTAAAATTACAGTTAGCACAATGCTAGTGTATAGCAACAGACAGGTAACCTAGATCTAGGTCTGACTCTTGTCAGGCTAGTCTGACAAAATTGGATTTTAGGAAAAACATATTCTGCAAAACTAGAACTAGAGCTGAAAAAATTAAAGATGAGTATGTAAATATATTTTGAAATAAAAAAATTAGGAGATTTGTTTGCACATGCCATAAGAATGCTGTTATTAGTTGATCAAACTTAAAGGCCGGAAGATCGGGATGAAAAAATATAACAATGGTGGCAGCGTGACCTACATACAGTGACTACGTTCGGAGCAGTATAACTAATGTCGGAGTCAAAATATCCAAAAACAAATTTCATTTCCACATACTTAAGATATGTCTGATCAGTAATCTACTCTCACCTAGAATAATCTTTTAAAAAATCGTGATTCCAACGTATTTGAAACTAGCCTTCATACAGGGGGAAGACCAAAGCAGAGACAGCGTGCGATCAGATCGCTAAGCCATCAAAACAATGGGAAAACCATTCTACTTTTCATTTAACATTAGGAAATGACCTTTTAAACTTAATTAATTACCATAAATTAAAAACTTATTAGTATGCAAAACCAAATCTCGTGCGACCGGTATCAGAAAGTAATGGGCGATTTCGGGTCATGTTTTTACCGCGATCTCGGCCGATACCGACAACCCTAATAATTCCTACCATCGTAATTTGGAACTTTAGGATTACTTTTAAAATGTTAATTCTAGTAAATCTTGATTCTAGATCTAAGTAAGAAATATAAACTGAAAGAATACCACGAGAATAAAAAAAAATAAACGATTTTTTAAAATTAATATCGAAATTAGGTCACCAATGCGTCCATATTTTCCTCGTAAAATGATAAAACAAAGAGATGGGGTGGGGTGAAATGAAAATGTTTCTACAACATTTAATATAAACTTGACCACGATCTCACTCATCCAAACTGATAATTACAGACAGAGCCTAGGTGTTTAGCTTCAAATTAGACATTAAATGATACCTGTTGTTATTTTACTGGGCTATTTTCCGGCTAACACGCTCTTAACAGTCGAAGAAGTATGGAAGGTTGAAATCTATTTCTCGTACACTCACGCAAAGTCTCGCGGTAGCGATATCAAAGGAAGTAGGCCTATGCACAGATCCTAAAAGTACATTGGTCCTTCGTGTAAAATTAGGCTATCTTTATTTATATCCAAAATTTAATGGGCCAAGTTTTTTAAAATTTTTAATAACTACTGTAGGCTTGTAGGCCCGGCATTATTATGTGAATGTTTAATATTATATACACACATACATATAGATAGATAGAGATCTATATACATACATTTATAGCCTAAATAGAGTATATAGGCTATATAGAGCCTACTGTTGTGTTCAATAAAAAAATTGGTCCCAGCGACTTTTTACTATCATATATGATACCATCGTACATTTTTGCGCCCCCTAAGGTCGGCGTCCGGGGACTCTGTCAAAATATAGTATTTTAATCAATTGCCATTTAAGAAGTGTTCTAAAACGCGACATAACGTCTAAAAAATTCGTTTTCTCACATTGCTTTTTTTATAATGCAAAAGTGTGACGTCGCAAGATCTGACCCCCCCCCTCCCCCTCATCACACACCGTCACAAAATTACGGACCCCCCCCCCTCCCCCCTACGAGTGCGACGTCTTTTAAGGACGACCCCTTAGAGAAATTTGAAACTTCCGGGTGTGGGGGGGGGCGCACTTAAAATGTCAAGGGAGGGGGTGGACACTGGTTAAAGTATATATTTTCTATATATTATCTCAGAATATTTGTTTGTATTGTGTTTATGTGTAAAAATATAAATAATCCTTATTAGGATTACTATGTTATTTTTTTTTTTTTTGTTTCTGGTTGATACAATTTAAAGCTTATTTATGTCTTGTAAATTTATTTATTTTTTCGTGTGAAAAAATGTCCAACATTTCTGACGGCACTTATAAGTACCAAACGATGTTTGGAGCCAGTGGCGGATTATGGGTGGGGGGGGCTGAGAGAGGAGCATCCAAGGGCCCCCGACAGAGGCGTAGCGAGGGGGTGGGGCGGGGGGGGACATATGTCACCGGGCGCCGACCTTAGGGGGGGGGGGCGCCAAATTGAAAGTTTGAGGGGAGTGCAAATGAAAAGTTCGAAGGGGGGTGCAAATCGAAAGTTTGAGAGGGGGGGGGCTGCAAATGAAAAGTTCGAGGGGGGTGCAAATAGAAAGTTTGTCCCCGGGCGCCGGGAAGGGTCGCTACGCCTCTGGCCCCCGAATTCTTCCCCTTCCCCCCCCCCCCCCCCAATTTTTTTTCTCTTACAAAACATAATAAATATCACTTCAATGCATAATTGTTGGTTTTATAGTACAAAAAACTATGTTTTTCATTTTTTTCTTTCATAATATTAAACATGTCCACACACTTTATAATTAATACAAGCTGCCACCCTCTTCTTTCTAAATATTGTTTACATAACGCTGATGCTCCGTTAAAAACATAGTGCGGACAAGCGTTCCCTTTTGACAATAAGTTGGGTTGATTTTTTTGTTTAATTAAAAAACAAGCCGAATTTACGATTGACCTCTCGTTACAAAAATAAAGATCTAGGTATCTAGATCTATATTATTTTGGATTAAACCTCCATAAATGCTTTATGTGAGATATTAATATTCGGGCCTGATGATCATAGGGGTCGCCCATAAATGGCGTCACACTCGTAGGGGAGGGGGGTCCGCAATTTTGTGACGGTGTGTGATGAGGGTTCAGATGGTGTGACGTCACTCTTTTGCATTATAAAAAATCAATGTTAGAAAACATGTTTTAGCCTTTATTTCGCGTTTTAGAAAAACGGTTTTAATAAATTGTAATAGAAATTGATCAAAATACTCTATGTTAACATAGTTCTGACAAGATTTTGGAAAAATATCGATGTTTTTAGAAAAATTCAACAGCCATTTTGAGGGGGTGTAGACTGAGGTATGACGTCATTTTAGGGGGGGGGGGGTTCTGGCTTTTTGTGACGATGTGTAACGGTGGGGAAGGTAAACATCGTCAAAAAAGCGTGATGTCATTTATGGATGACCCCATAGGGCTGATAAAGTTGAGTTACCTAGCTAAGAGAACACAGAGAAATTATGACTAGTTCAATGTCTTGCCGCCTTTCTCGGCAATCCGAGTTCAAAACTTTTGGGTTAGAAGTTCTACCCCCGACCACGCCCTCCCAGTATTCGCTCTCTCACAAACTCAATCTGTTTATCTTAAAAGAATATAAACAATATTGTAAATCTGTAACTTCGAGTTTTTTAAATTCACAATTGTTAGCAAAACGTTGATTAGCTTGTAATTTCTTTGGCGTCAAAGATAGTTTTATCTTGAGAATACAAATACAAGAAACCACCCATTTATGAAATGAGCACGTAGTATGAAAACAACTGACACCTTCGACGATTACAGATTCGTGGATGATGTAGAGGTCCATGGGGAGATCACAATCATAATATGTAGGCCCTAATATTTATAACAAAAAACAGAGCTGCGTAAACAATGTTAGATAAGCATCGCCACCCAGTAGCGTTGCGGGGGGGGGGGGGGACATATGTCCCCGTGCGCCGACCTTAGGGGGCGCCAAAATGGGTTGGAAAAATAAATTGAAAGGTTGAGGGGGGGGGGGGTGCAAATCGAAAGTTTGAGGGTGGGGGGGGGGGGGGGGGGGTAAAATGGAAATCTCGAGGGGGGGGGGTGCAAATCGAAAAGAAAAGTTTGTCCCCGGGCGCCGGGAAGGGTCGCTACGCCTCTGTCGCCACCTCAAAAAATGATATGATACTTGCACTTTAAGATTTTATTGAAAAGGGTGAAATTGAGACATGTCATTATTAATTTGCATTAAAAGGTCTGGATTTTGTTACTTTGAACCCAACCCCTATTGTTCGAGCTTACTGTTTTTAGTTAGGCCAATGTGTCCCCTGTATGTTGATGATTTACTGCGCAGTGTGGTTAGCAATTCTCAGGTTTTTTGGCCGCTTTATATTATTGTTTAGATTAGATCTATATATTTGCAGTTTGTCAGCCAAAGGCGTCTCAATTGCCTCTTTCTGTTTTAAAGTAGGCCTATCTTTGTTAAATTAGTTGAAAATTAAACGAGGACATTATATTGCTATGGATATTTATTTTCCCAATGTTGGTGTGGATTGCCATCTTTCCATTAAAGATTTGCCAATGGAAAAATTTGCATATGCTAGGAATGTAGGAAACTCCTTAGGGCAGATCAGTGTAACAACACATGCACAACAGTTGCATATCAATTTAATCATAAAAATGATCTTATTCATCTATCAATGTGCTGGAAGAGACATAGTAAGCTTAACTATCATCAACATAATCTTGATATTTGCGGCAACTATAATTGATAGATTGTCCCACAATAATCTGACAAACGGTAGCGCAGGTGATGGATCAAGACATAATTTTATTTCCAGCCCAGACCCTCAGTCTGTGATGCCATGTCTCTGTACTCACAAACGCATGACATAGACAGCTTAAGATAAAAAGTAAATCAGTATTTCGACAAATCAAATTAAAAAAACTGAAACCATAAAATTGTGTCAGCCATTTATCAAGAACTTAACAGTAATTCATCACCTGGAAATTTAAAGATTAGTGCCTAACATTTTAATGTGTTTTTGGCATTTTTTAAGCTATGGATTACTTTCTATTGTTTCAGTCTTTAAAAAAATATTTCATCGAAGAAGTATTGTTTTGTATCATCGCGTACTGATAGGGATAAAAAAAGGAGCAGGGTGTGCTGATACACCCAATACAGCAAACACACAAATCTGTCCCTATGGTTTAGGTCTACATAGGTACAAGGTACATGGTAACAGGTAGGTGTAACAACCTGTCAAAACTTTATCTACTGAATAAAAATTTGGCAATAAAAAAAAACTGTTACAGAAACAAAGAAAAAAAAATTAGATGATATTCATTGCATGTTTTAAATTGTATGTATAGAGAATTTTATTCAAGATCCAAGTCAAAACAATACAAAAATTCAACAATTCCATGCACACTGTTACAAAAGACATTCACCTATCACACACACTGACTATGCTGTTGCCAGCTCAGGTCCTTTATTTGAACTCTCTGGAACATCTTGAGCCTCGCTCACTTTCTCCTCTACCACAGGAGGCAAAGGTTCAAATTTGGGCACTTTGTATGTTCTAATCAAATTGTCTCGAGGTGTCATCCACTCTGGTATGATCTTTCCATGGATACGCCATTGTCCATACGTGTCAGATATCCATTTCTCCATTACTACATATTCTAGAACTGACTTTGGTGTTAAAGGGTCGCCATACATTAATCGACCAAAACGATCATAAATTGCTAAGATCTGAAAGTGAGATTGATAGAAAACAAATTCACAGAGTGAGAAAAAGGTAGAGGAATAATACATAATGAGAACTCATAGTTATTAAAAAAAAAACACAATATCTAACTTATTCAAAAAATTAAAATCCCACAACTATTTGATTTATCTTTACTGCAATTTAAAATGTAAATTTATAGCCTAAAGTAAAATGATTTTAGTTAGTGAAGGAAAATGATTGTTTTTTTTACTATACCTGTTTTGTGTGCATTCTTACTGTAACTTGTGCAAATAAGTTGCCTTCTGTAATCATCTCGTCAGTTCTAATCTGGACAACACGAGGAGGCTCCACAGTCTCAACAAACTTCCACTGCATGGTCTTGGAATGAAGGCCATGAACCATTTCCTGAGAAAAACAGATCAGGCCATTGAACAAATTCATGTTAGAATGAATAAACTATTTACTCATTATGTGTACTGTTGTTCAAACAGAAGTTTTTGCTGGTACGTATCCCAGCAAAATGTAGTAAGTGTATAAATTTAACAGTTTAATCCTTATGTTCTCTTGTATTTTTTCACACTGTCCTTAAGCTTTGAGCAATGCACCAAGGTTATTTTGTACACATTCTGAAATTAGTCCTTTGATTTTTGTTCTAATTAAATGGTAATTTATTTGCATTATTAACACTGAATTCTCAAGCACACCTTAAGATATGAAAGAAGATTAATGCAGATAACAGAGGAGAGACCTAAATAAAGAAATCTAATCTATAATATAAGTGACCAAGTAGTGTCAGTCAGTCTGTCATTAAAAGTACACACCACAGGCCATGATTTTGCTTGCATTAAATTAAGTATTTTGCTTATATGCCTAGAAAAAATGGATACATTCTAATAACAGTAGAGTGGGAAAAAACAAATTAGTTAAAATCTTTAATAATTTTGCTAGGGGAGGTAATTTTAAAAAAATTCAACTCACGCTAAATATTTCTATTTTAGTAAAAAATTAAATGTGAATGCGATTTGTACAGACATGTGTGAGAGCATTATTGTTGAAATATATGGCTGTTAGCTTGCTAAAGCCATTTGATAAAGCGTTTGTGTTTGAGTTTTTTTTTTGTGTTTGTATTTTTGTTTGCGTTTGTGTTCGCGTTCTAAAAACATTGCTTAACTCACAGGAAATGCCTTTTCTGTGACAAGCTGATGAAGTCTTTCTTGGTTCTTGTAGATACTAAAAATGAATAATGTCAAGTAAATTAAAAATAAAAGAAACAATGAAATAGTATGCAAATAGTCATAATAAACTATTAAACACGCATCCGTACGTAATGTCAATCAAGCCTTTGCAATCTTGCCAAAAACATGTCGATAGAACAAAATTTCTAAGACCAAATGCAGACTTTTCAAAAGTTATGTCCTTGGCGTCATACTTTATGGCAGTGAGTGCTGGAGAGTAGCCACCACCACCAGCAGATTACTGAACTCTTTCAAAGGATAAAAGACACCCACTCACCTAACACAATCTCCAATGATAAATTGCTAGGAAAGATGGAAATGGGAGCAGTTTCCAAAATAATAATAAAAGCAGAAGGACAGGGCACATCTTAAGAATGAATCCAGATGATATTGCTGGAATGGCGCCTCAAGGAAAAAGAAAGCAGGGAAGACCAAGGAAGACGTGGAGGTGCACAGCGGGTAGCAACTGGCAGAGGTAGGACTGTCACTGCCAGCTGACAGGAAAATTGCCGGAGGCAGACAAAAGTGGAAGGAGCTTCCTGTGGCAGCCCCATGTGTCTTGGGAACAAAAGGGAAAAAAATAACATGATAATGAGTCATAATTAAACAATGTGTCTAAGAAAACAGAAAACTTACTTTTGAAGCAAATTTTGAGCTTCAATTACAATATTTTGAGCCTCCACTGCAAACTCAGATTCATTAAAGTCTTCATATTTCTTTAACTTGCGAACATGTTTGATAGTTTTTGGCCCCTTCATCATTCGTGATATACTACCTGATAGAATCTAGAAATAAAAAATAATTTTTTTTAACAAATTAAAAATTGTAAAAAATAAAAAAAATATTTTAAAAAAGTGCCAGACTTACTGAACCAGAAATGCTTGAATGTTTGCCATCACCATCAGGTGGTTTAAATTGATCCATAAAAGCACCTGCAAAGAATTTTTTAAAAAGTAAAATCAATATAGCACATTTTAAAATCTCAGTTCTAAAATACAAAAAAAGTAAAACATTGAAAAAAAATGACTTACGAGTACATGAAATGTTTAAAGGCAATTCTTGAAATGTTCTTGGTGGCAGACTGCCATTTTTCTTCATGTCCATGCGTATTTCATCTGCTGTTTTGTTTTTATGATCAGTTCTATCTTTCTTCAGTTCATTAAACTTCGGAAGGTCAACCTAAGATGAAGAATAATGAAATGTTTTATATTTATCATCTTACAATATAACTAAAAAAAAAAGCAGGACAATCATTCTAATGAATATGGGTCAATAGTCTTTAAGGAAATCTGCAGCAAATGTATTAAATGGGAGGGATATTTTCTATTTTCAAATGATTAAATTTTTGATACTGAGTTGATACTGGGAAAAAAAAAATCTCTCAATTAGCATGGAAGTAAATTTTTGCAGCACGAAAAAATTAAAACAGCATTTATTTAAATTATCTAATTTTATCTTGCAAAGATTAAAATAAAAGGTCAACAGAGGACAATTGCTTTAAAACTGATTGGTCTTATTTTAAGATTTAAATTAGAGTCTGAAAAAAACATCAATAGTTTTGTAGCCCCATTTAAATCTCTCCTTTAAAAATTGAAATATAAATCTGAATGCAATAAAAAGCTGTGGTGTTTACTTTATAAACTTTCTTCCCTCTGAGCAGTTTCCATTTCATTCCCCAATGTTTAGATGTTGGGAGCCCTCTGGATGGCTGCCTTCCATGCTGACCAATATCTGGTATCTGAGTGGCAAGCACAGGGCGAATAGTACCCTACAGAAAAAAAAGACAATGAATTGGTTTAAAAAGAGACAGAAAATATTTTTGGTTCTGGTGTCTTTGCTTCTAGTAGGCATGGTGATGGGGGTGTGATCACTTGTTGATTTACTCGTTATTTATAACTTATCACTTCTGATAGTAACAATCCTGTTTTTAACAATTTTTCATGGACAATGAAATGAATTTGATGTTAAGTTCTAGATGTACTAAATAAATAGGCAGATTCTAGCCGGAAGTAGATGTGCATGTGCATAGTGCTACAATTACCTGGTTTTCTTTCATCTAAATATTCGTTGTTTAGGCCTATATATGTGTTGTCTTGATGGGACAGTGATTAACTTGAGAAAACTACTTAAATAGTAGATTTAGATAAGCTATTAAAATAGATTTTTAAAAATATAATTTTTACTTATATAAGTATATAAGCCTCATCCTCAGTTGGTACAGTTTTGTCAGAAGAATAAGGTTAAAAAGGAAAATTGATTGATCCCATTGCGCAGATTCAAAATGATAATTTGAGCCCATTTCTCAGCCAGTAATATTTATTTTGAGCCCATTGCGCAGATTCAAAATGATAATTTGAGCCCTTTGCTCAGCTAGTAATATTTAATTTGAGCCCATTGCGCATCTATTAAGGTCATAACATTTTACATCTTCTGCCGGCCAGATTAGCAGTGGGGGAAGAAGCTTCTTCTGAGAAGTCACTTTAAAATAAAAAGCATGGCCAAGGTTGGTGGGGCTGCATCTATTAAAAATAGGGCTAACTCACTAGGCGCATGAATTCAGACGAATGGTAAATTTGTGATGAAAGTTTTTAACAGATTAAATAGATAGAAATCTTAAATATTTTAAACTCCGCTTAGAAATAGATAAGGCTTCTGGAATGTCTCCACAGTCCCAAGCTCAGTAAATGAGGGTTAGAAGTTATATTATATGTAGAAATTGACGTGGAAGGGTTTTAATTTTTTTTATTAATGCACAGCTATTGAGTTATCAAAAATTAAAACTGTTTAATTTGGCTCCAAATGAGCTAGAACCCTCATATTAAGGACTCAGAATAGCTGTTGCAATCATTGCTCAGCCACATTATTTATTAGGCTAATAGTAATATGCTAATATCTAATCTAGGTCTATATGTAGACCTATCTTATTATCTATCTATTATTTTGAACGTAAAGACCTTAATAGCTGCACAATGGATTCAAATTACCCATAATACTATTGATAGCTGCGCAATGGTCTCAAATTACTCTTATAGCCTTATTCTTCTGACAAGCAATTGCTCTTCGAGCAGGTCGTCAGGGGTTGAGGGTTCCAATTTATAAGTATCTATATAAATAATTCTCTTCATGAGGACCATGCGAGACACCACGTAAACGCACGCTGTTACTCCCCCGCTCTCTAGGCATATAGCTACCACCCCCACCATTCTAGTGAGCTAAGGTTCACCCGAATGTTTACAATGGTAGAGCCGGGTCAAATTAGTAACGGCTATTAGGGGCAGATAATTTAGCTATTAAACTATTTGAAACTAATGAGAGGTAAGAAGTTCTGCTTGATCTTTTATTGTCGTCCGTAAACTGTTGTCACGGACTGCTGCTTTCATGTTGGTGGGTGGGGGGAGGGGTGTGGAATGGAAGGGAGGGTAGGGTTGAATTCACTAACGAAGTACTGAAAAGTAGAAAATAAAACAAATAGCGGCATATGGTACGTCGCGGGTCAGCTCTTAAGTATAAAATATTTAAAATATCTATTTTAATAGCCTATTTAAATCTACTATTTAAGTATTTATTATGTTAATCCCATCAAGACAACACAGGCCTAAACAACAAACATTTAGATTAGAAGAAAAACCAGGTAATTGTGCATGTGCATCTTTAGATGTTGTCGGATAATGGACTCTTCCAAAAAAAATGTGTGTTGGGTTGTTAGTAGTATTGTAATGTCGACTAGTTTTATGGTTAGAAATTAGGCAGCTAAATAGGGTTATGCTTAAAGTTGAGTTTAGGGTTAACATTAGCAGGATGTGTGTATTTTAGTTAACTAACCATAACCTAACAACCCCTTTTTTTAGATTCTATTATCAGACACTGTATAAAAATCAGCCAATAAATAAAATTATATAAGATAATTGTCAATTGTTGTAAATGTAATTATATTAAGTAGGGATTTTGGTAAAAAAAACACTAATCATCATAGAAAAATAAAAATTACATATTCTTGTAGAGCTCAACTATATGAAAACAAAACACAAAAGATTTTCTGTCTAGCTCAAATAGTATTTTTTAGTGAATTTTTTTGTAAGTGGTGGTAGAATCCCCTTATTTTTGCATTGGCCATTTGTGACAAGTAAGGATATACCTGAATAAATTAGCACAGTTATTTTACTTGCAGTTGTATTATGTTCATATTTGCAGAGTTTAGCTAGAATGATATATATAACTTGTAGGCCTATATGTTGTTGAAATGAATACAAATAATACAGAAAGTATATTTTTGTGTTGGCTTCCTCCCATAACCCCAAAAAACTGTGTGCTGCGCAAATATGAAAATGTTTTTAAAGCAATATTTTATATAAAAACAATGAATGAAAGAACTACATAGAAATCTAAAGTATTCTAAAGTAAATGACTTTTAGGAAAAACATATTTGGCAAAATTTTACTTCTAGAGAAACTAGATCTAGAGCTGAAAAAAATGAAAGCGAAAGATAGGTAGATCTATTGTTGTTTATAATAAAATACGCTCAACCGGAGGTGAACGTGAAGCGGCGAATAAAATACACTAAAATGGAGTTTTACCAAGAAATAAACTAATATCTAATCTATTATCTATCATTTTAGGTACGTAAAATTTAGTTGGAAATCTTCTTCTTCATTTTTACTGTCGGAAGGGATCGAGCCTTATCTGCCAGAGGGTTTGAACTCGAGACTTTTTTCAAATTTATCAACCTTTTGTCGACTCAATCACGTCTTCATCACAATTAACTTGAATTAAGGATACGTGTCAACTGGTTATGCGCTATTGATTCCGATTTCAGCCTGCTTTTCTTTTTGGATTTGCTTCCATAGCCTTTGTGTTTTGTCCAACCAAGAACTAACTACAAGGCAGCAGTTGTTTGATTTTGGAGTTGTCTCTCCTAGAAGTGTGGCTGTCCCCAGCTAACGAGCCTCATCTGCCTGAGGCAGACCTGAGGTTCGAACTTGTTACTCGAGACTTTTCGGTTTAGCAACCACTCAGTTTACTGACTCGACCACGCCAACCCCAGGTTGGAAATCTATCTAACAGAGTTTGAACCTGTTTTAACACTGAGAGCAGTGTTTGAAAAGACTGAAATTCACACTTTTCACTGAAGTTCATCGACTGCTGGACTGAACATCAGTGAGAACAAACAACAGTGAAACTGCAAATGAGCCAAATGAATGGTGGTGTGACTGAGGCAAGACTCAGCGGTAGTAAGCGGGACTCTTTAAATTAAATGTTGATTGAAATGTATAGTTTCTTTAGAATTATTGATTATTTGTATTTCCAACTTCACGACAAATTAGATAATATTTGTAATGTTAGAAATATAATGTACCCATAGCACAACTTGTGACCTTAATGCTTTATTTACGAGGGTTGCCATCTTGAATGAATGTGTGAACATTTAACGTACAATTACTTTTTCGCCTTTAAAATAATTTTTATTGGAATGTTTTGAAATGCATATAATTAATAAATAATAATTGTAATTATACAGATATAGAATGTAGTTTCCATATCTAGGTGTAAAACTTTTACTAAAAGAGTTATTCGCTCAAGGGGCACTTGATATTTTCGGGTGGGGGGCGGACAACAATTTCCGGGGGGGGGGGGGGGGGCGGACACTGGTAAAAGTATGTTTTCATTTCGTTCGAAGGGGGGGGGGGGGTAGACTTTCTTCGAGTAGATGCCTGTAAGAAACTCTGATCTTAAGTTGCCCCAGCTGCAGTAGCATACGGATAGTGGCGCCTTTTTCTGAGGTTAATTAAATAAAATTTGAAACAAGCTCCACAACACAAAATAAAACAACAACAATAATAACAAACACATTACTGAAACTATGAATTAAACTGTCATGTTATGTACCCTAAATATCACATTTTTAATAACTCATCGCCAGTGTATTCGCCAGTAGATCTATAGCCTACTTCTTGGTTTACTAATCGGCGCCTAGCCAGCGCCAGGCATGTGCGAGGCGCTTTTTTGTCACAATGTCCGTCCACTTTACTGCCTGTACTTCTGTTGTTTGTGTTAGGGGGCGTCCATAAATGACGTCACACTCGTAGGGGGGGGGGGGGTCCGTAATTTTGTGACAGTATGTGATGAAGGGGGGGGTCAGATGGTGTGACGTCACTTATTTGCATTATAAAAAAGCAATGTTAGAAAACGAGTTTTAGCCGTTATTTCGCGTTTTAGAAAACAGTTTAAATAAATTGTAATAGGAATTGATCAAAATACTCTATGTTGACAGAGTTCTGACAAGATTTTGTAAAAAAATATCGATGTTTTAAGAAAAATTCAACTGCAATTTTGAGGGGGGGGGGGGTTGTAGGCTAAGGTGTGACATTTTAGGGGGGGGGGGGTCTGGCTTTTTGTGACGACGTGTGACGGAGGGGAGCGGGGAGGTAAAAATCGTCAAAAAGCGAGACGTCATTTATGGATAACCTTTATCCCTGCTGGATATAGACCGTCAACCACCCACAGATCGATCATAATTCACAATTGTAGTCTTTGCTTCAGCTGCAAGGCTCAATTCAGCCATCCCTCTTTTATACGGGAGGTCCATTAACTTTGGGTTTTAAGATCAGTCTAGAAACGTAGGGTAACTGTTTACCTAAAATGTGCCTGTAGAGTACTTTTTTGCTTATCTTTGAAATGTTAATACTAGCAGGAAGGGAAGCGGCAGGTCTCTTGCCTGTCAGCTGATTTAGAACACTTTCCATAGGCATCGTAATTGTACAGACAGATGCACACAGTTTTAGATGGATTGTGTTAAATACTCTAAGCAAGTATAGGGGGGGGGGGGGAAGGAGGAGGGAAGCTAAATAAATGTACAGAAAAATAAATACATTCTTACACAACTTAAAGAACATTAGCATGAGTCAAGAATAGTCAAGATGATTAGTACGTACAGATGTCCTCAACGAACATATACCTAAATACCTCAGGTAAATTTAGTGACAACATTATAAACACTATGTCTGTCGGCTTTATGTCCGTGTCGGCATTTTGGATGTCGGCATTTTGTCCAACACCCGATTTATAGTTTCATTTAAATATGCTTGCACTTGTGTTTTTTTTTATTGCTTTGTGATACTACTTGAAAGTTTGATTAATTAAAGGGAACTAGCTTTATTAAACTATTTTGTTATTTTATCTCTAGCTATTTGTATTGATTTTACCATCAAACTGAGCTTGAGTCACCTTACTCTGGATTATTATATACTCTGGTCACTATTCTTTAATTTAGACTAAACTGCTAACCCCAGAGTCTCGAGTTCGAATCCGGGTTCAAATCAGTGGAACGTCCCTGAGTCCACCCAGCTCTGATGGGTACCTAACTTAGGTTAGGAAAACAAAGGTGGCTGGGCATAGTGCTGCCCACACTTTCCCTTCATATGCCGAGGTCAATGAATCAGATGAACTCTACTTAAAGAAGATAAAGAAGAGAGGAAGACTATTCTTTAATACCCACTTGATTTTGTAAATGGTTCTTAATAGATCCAATCCAATAATTATAAGAAAAATACAGTTTTTAGCACTAGCAGATGAAATAAATAAGCTTTATGGGAAGCTGTCTTTCCTTGATTTAAGTCAAGTACTCATCTAGGGTGGATTGACTAAGAAACATTGTGCTGACTCATGACTTACTTGGTTTGAAATTCTGCATATTTTCTTTGGGTTTTTTTCAACACTTTTTTCACAATATACATTCAGGAAGAAATGCATTGCTTTTATTTAAATATATTATAGGAACCAAACAAAATGTTACTTATAATCAATGAAAGAAAACCAATGAGAATTCATAAAGATATTTATTAGATTAAGTCTTTCTATGCATGAATTAAGTACTTACAAGTAAAATATATTGTCTTACAGTAAGCCGTATGGGGAGGGGGGTTTATACAAACCAAATTCAATAAAATATGTCATTAACGAGGTAAAATCATTAATGAAAAAAGTTTTTAAAAATATTACTGTATGATAATAAAACATAACAAGGGGAAACAAATTCATGAGTAGTAATGGTAATAATAATAATATGACTTTTGGTCATGCTGACATAGGTTAAAAAAATATATTGCAGAAATATCATCAGGTCATTGTATCCTGTCATATGAGTTTCTGGTTTTTAATGTGTATAAAAACATTCATGCAGACAAGTTACAGTCAAATTCAAGCATTATCTAACACTATCTCATGGAATACCAACTACATTTGACTAAGCTATGCTGCAATGTACAAAGGATTGTTTTTTTTTATCATGGGTTTAATACAATGTAAACATTGATATTTAACCTAATATAGTGTTGTTAGCTTAAGGCACTTTCATATACAAATCTGTAAAAACAACAGATAAATTAGGCTCTTTACTGAAAAAGTTTTTAAAAAAAGTAGTGATTGGCATTGTACAATTAAGCCTATTAACAACCATAGTTTTTAATCAGACAAATACAGTTGTAAATTGATGAAAAAAATACATAGGCCTACTAAAGACACAACCATTGTCTCAATATCAAAACAGTGAACCATTAATTTATGAGTGATAACAATATAAAGTTGTGCCGAATTGGGGGGGGGGGGGGGGAGTAGCAAACTATCCACAAAGAATTATCCATTCCATTTTTCCAAAACATATGTACACAGAAATAAAATAAAACACATTTTGAAAAATAAACACAAAAATATTCTATGAACAGAATTTACAAAGCTAGTTGAAATTAGCAACATGAACTCTAATTTTTTTAAAAAAGAGATTAAAAAAACTGAAAAAAAGAATAAGCAGAAATTAGTTTTCCAAAATGGATATGCATGTTTAAAAAAAACAAAACTAATATTTTATACCCGTGACTTACTGATATGATTATAACTATTCATTTATGCCAAACAGCAATCGTGTCACATGTTTATATACTCAGTTATGATTGGATAGGTGATTAAATAAAATAATGAACCAAAATTATTTTTATTAAAGGCACTAGAAGCAACGTGTAAAAAAATATGGTAAATAAAAACATGAACAGAGGTGTTACTCAAAAGTAAGCAATGTTAAGAGATCCAAGTAAATGATTGCAATATTTTCTTTAATGCACAAAATGGCTGAATAACGTACTTGGGAAACAGATCTATTACACATAATGTACAGTGAAAAGTTAAAATTAGAATTAATTGTAAATAAACAGATCAATTATGCTACATATTATTATGCAAGTGAAAAAAAATATCAACAGCTGCTGAAAAAACTTCTACAACAAAAAAAAAGATAATAGGTGAAAAAGAATAACTGTTTCTCAAAGGTTAGTTTCAGATGAGAGCTATATTATGCATGAGTTGAGCAAAAAAGATTTTTGATTGGTGAACAAGATTATGCTGACATTTTAAAATGTTAACTTTAGCTGAATTTCTTAAGTCACTTCCATTAAGAAACAAATTATTTTCTTGGATATGTTTTCTTTACAAATAAAAACTCACACTGTAGAGACAGGAAATAACTTATTATTTGGATTTCCCGTTGTAGTATGTGACTTACTTTTGTGTGACTTACTTACTTTTGTAAGCTTATTAGCCTTTCTCGTGTAACTAACTGTAACAAAATGTAAAATTTGATTTTGCTTTTTTTAAGAACTTTAAAATAAATAAAATAACATTAAAATAAAGAATAAAAACTAGTAGTAAAACATTAAATAGAACAATTAAAAGTATTATGAAAGATAAATGACGATGAACAAAAGTTACTAAATTTATTTAGAGTATAATGTTGCACATTTATTGTAATTTTTAAAATTGCTAAGCCTACGCATAAAGAATTGGCTTTTAATGATCTAATTTTAAATTAAAGTTTAGTTTAATAAAATTGTTTCTTTTCCTCATCTTCCCAAAAGGTATTACAATTAAAATTATATTATGTTAACTGTTGTATGTATGAGATGTTTTAATGAGGGATTAAAATCTTGCTTTTCTCCCACAGGATACTTTAATATTCTGATCAGAGTTTAGGATTTATCTTAGATATGAGATCAACAAAACACTGAAATATTCACTAAGCAAAAAACTTGTTTAATGCTGTAGATTCATCAACAGTAAATCACATCACATCCACCGCTTGTTTTACTCCCCCCAACCTTTCTATTTTGTGCAAAAAAAAAAAAAAGAAAAACAGAGAAATAAAAAACCCCCAGTAAACTTTGTAATATATGCTTTTGTAGAATAAAGCTCAATAGAGTAGTCTGAAAAAACTAACAAAAAATGCTTTTGCTATTGATTCCATAATCTAATTTATACCCTATTAATAACATAATGCCCATGCATACTGTATTTTTCTTTTTTATTTGTACAGCAAATAGATTAAAATTAAAAAAGATTTCATCTGATAGAAAACATGCAAATTTTCTCGATTTAATCATGTCCCATTTAATGATAGACTTGTTAGGCTATTTTTCTCTTCCAAAAAAAAAAACAATTGGCATTTGAAATTGTAATGCCATGAAGACTAATTAAAAATATTGCATCTTCTTTTAGATAAATGAGATATTTAAGCAAGATGAAGATTTCGAGTGGGACGACATAAATTTTTAAAGATTTTAACTGCATGTTTTTTTTTACCAGGACACATAAAATAGTTCGTGATTGGATTGCAGTTTTAAATTTGGAATATCCAGCTCATACCAAAGGAGAGTTAGTAACTGTGGAAATAAATACTGTACTTCGTAAAATATTTCTTACAAGGTGAACTATCTGCAACATTATCAAGACATGTGGTGTATAAAACTGTCTGTTTTTAAACAGCTACACTTTAGAGAAAACAAAAAAAACCTACCAGCATTTCATCAGTTAGGATGCTACACAAAAGTTAAATTTTACTGCCTTAAACAATGTCCTTTATAGTACAACAAAGCTTTTTTCACAAATTTTTAAATACTAACACATGTTGGATGAGGCAATTTATAAGAATATTCTAAATAAGTATAGAAACAAATATGTTGTTGCATAATAATGATTAAGGGAGATAAAGATAAAAAATGAAATGGTATCTACCATGAAGATGTAGCCAAACATATTTTAAAAAAAAATAGAACATTGTGCTGCAACATACAGTGCATAGATGTGTTTTTTTAAAGTTTACCAATCATACCTAATTCAATGTTAAATTTCACACACAGACATTACAGTTAGAAACAGAATTATCCTTTTTGCTTGTTATAGAATAGATATACACAAAGAAGAAAACTTTAATTATAAAGATTTGATAAAGCTGATTAAAAAAATGAACCATAAGATTTTTTAAATGTGAGCTAAGTGTAAAAAAAAAATCTATTACAGATTAAAATATAGAAATAATTTTTTTTTAAAAGCATGCAGTAAAGGTGACACAGGTTTGATCACAAGAAGCAGAAAGATGAAATTCTTCACACTCCTAATATCACCAATTCAAGTAACAAGATTCTGACTTCAACCAAGACAAAAATGGCACCTAAAGGGGCATAAGCCTGTAACATTTGCAACAGGAGTTAGCTGGACACTCAGTACTTTTACAAGTAGTCTTTTAAAATCACAATAAAGTTTAGAAATGACAACACACATTCAAAGATTCCATAGAAAAATAAACAGATGTTTTGTAAAAAGAAAAACAAGTTAAGAAAGGCTCATTAACAAGAGTACCAACAAATGCACATGTTATCAAAACATAATAATATCATGTGATCTGACAGTTAAAAATAGAACAATATTGTTTGTTTTATCTTATGTTTGTACATAATTATGCTAATTCAAATATGTGTCTTATATTCACTGACAGAATGTTTATGCTTTTGCATAAGAATTAATTCAATATAAAGAAATATTTTTAGATGAGTAAGCCAAAAGCAATTAATTAATCATAAATAAGATCAATTTTTAATTTAATTTTACAATTAAAATCACTATGCACTGTGTTAGTGAAAGAAAATGATACACTGTAATAAGACACTGCTAGATTGCCAGAAGGTGGAATAAAAAATAAGGCAAGTAATTAATTTACCATAATGCGCTGTATTTTACGGGGAGGGATGAAAATAATTATTTTTCTAGAATGCATAGGGTGAAAAGTTGTGAGAGTAACACACAGACAGATCTAAAAGATGATGAAAATTGTTTCATTATGTACCAAAATATAAAGAAATATGTAACCATGTATTTGTATAGCATGGATCCTCCTATATTCCTGTTGTCAAATGCTGCCTTTTAGCTATATACAATCTAGAACAAAAAAATTGGACACACACAGCAGTGCTGAAACTGTGATTGCATAAGCTGATATAAAATCACACTATAACTAATTAAAACAACAATAAGGGCACTAAGCCAGTGATAGTTTCTATTATTTTATGTTGATATAACAAGATTCTACGCCAAAATTATTTTAACAACTATGTATATATGTATATGTATGTACACATATTGAAGTCAGCATGGCAAAAATGTGAACACAAAAATGTTTAACAACAAAGTATCACTAACTAAAAGAAAATCTTTCTTGCCAAATGATTTTAAGAAACATCAACTTCAAATCGGAAATTCAAGAGAACAAAGTTGTATCATTATTGTGTGCTTTAACATAGGAGATTCTAGAACACACAAATTATTTTAAAAAACATATCTTTAGAACATACAAGATAGTTGGATATACATTAGCTATATGTAGATTCCATTAGTTGCAAAATAATCCTCATATGTAGATTCCATTAGTTGCAAAAAAATCCTCATATGTAGATTCCATTAGTTGCAAAATAATCCTCATATGTAGATTCCATTCGTTGCAAAATAATCCTCATATGTAGATTCCATTAGTTGCAAAATAATCCTCGTTACTTTGAAAATGTCAGTCCACTCAATGTTAAAATCTTGTAGTTTGGAAACAAGTAAAAAATATCCAAAGGATTTTAAATTATTGAAATCCCTGCAAGAATATTATATTAATGGGCTTGGGTAAATACAGCATCGCTAAGGCCTCATGTTTAGATATTTGTTTTCTTCAGCAAGTTGGGTCAGCACGGAGCTCATGTCATTAACAACCATGTTGGATGTGTTCATTAGGGCGTTGTAGCGCCCGGAGTTCTGGGATACTGATCTCATGGATACCGGAGTTGGGCTGTATGCTATATTTTCCTGGGATATTGAGTGGATATTATCCATTAAATTTTCTGTGGATATAGAGGTGAGGTTGTCCATGAAGTCCTCGATTGGGTGGGTTGTTTCTTTACGGTCTGTGGAGCTGGTGACTTGGTTGCAACCGGGGGACATTTCCATAGGGTTGTAGGGGTTGTTACGTCCGTACGGGGGCAAGACCTGACCAGGGCATGGGACGTGGTTGGCCATAACTGGCTGCTGATGCTGAGGTAGGTTTTGCATTGGATGAAGGTGGTTGGCGTTCTGTGGTGGACACATGTGGCTGTGAATGTGGTTGGATGGCGGGTTGATATTGGGGTAGTGGTTGTGCATGTGGGATGGGTGGATGGGAGGGGCGGGCATGTTGTGGTTAGGCGGGTGTGGGGGGTAAGGGGATGTGGGGTAAGGACATTGCTGGGGGTGGGGAAGAGATGGTGGGTATGGGACCATGTTCTGGTTGGCGTACATTTTACCTGGGTAGCCTTCTGGCATCTGTGGGTGGTTGGGCTGGGGGAAGGGGCTGACAAGGGGGCTGCGGTTTGGCACCATGGGGGGCTTTACTAAAGGTTGATTGCGGCTGGCTGCCTTGGCATTCGCAGGGATCTGTGACTGACTGATATGAGGAACCTGAACTTGTGGACTAGCTCTTTTAGACCTGTGATTGGCTGGTTTTTCACCCGGGGGAGGGAGCGGACTGAACCCACCCACGGGGTGAGGGGGCAGCATCATGCCTTGGTTTTGATACTGATAGTGGTGGAAGTTCTGCATGTGCGACGGGGGGTGCGGCATCATGGCGGGAGACGCTGCGTCAAACGCTGCTGCCTGTTGTTGGCGCTGGTGCTGGAACTGCTGCTGGAGCTGGTGCTGCATGAGGTTCTGCTGAGACAGGTACGCGCCGCCGTTCACCTCCCATGTTCTACCTCCTCCCATTTCTGGATTGGGTACTGCCGAGCACGGATGATTATTATTATTATTAGCACCCATTCCACAGCCAGGCATTGTCCCATGCCCTGCACAGTTTTTACCCACCATCTCAGCTGTACACGTATTCCCTGCAGTACAAACATTGCCGTTGATCTCCGGGCGCAGCCTTTGAGCACACGGATCATTAGAGTTCGAGCCTTGTGGATGACAATGTGGATGATGTGGTGGTGGATGTTTAGGATGCTGCTGCACATTTCCGCCTGCTGGTGGGACTGGGTACGTGCACCTGGACACACCTGGTCTGTTGGGCATGTTGCCAGCGCAGACCTCAGAGTTCTGCATCGGCCATTGGCCGTTAGGACTCAGGTGAGATCCAGGGTAGTTGGGTTGAGATGGACTTACGTTGAACTGATCGTACGCCCCGCCAGGGGACACACCACCTGTGAGGTCAGCGAACCCTGTCTGCAGCTGCAGGTTGCCTGCCAACATATTCATCCCCCCTCGGCCATTCTCCCCGGGAAAACCAGAATTATTCACTGCATTCGGGGGACAAGGAACAGTAAACATAGAGTTCCCATCCCCTTCAAGGTCACACGGGTCAAAGTTCAAATCCAGTTCATCAATTTCCTGAAGAGCTCCAGCGTGATCTGGGTTACCTTCCCCTGGCAGACGGCCGTTATTATCTCCCCTACAATGCTCATTCAAAAACTGCCGCATGTCATCGGGTATAATCATATCCTCGCTGTCTTCCAACATTTTATCCTCCAGCTCTGCGTCGGTCAATTTGATCTTCACCCCTTCATCGTTAGCGCCTTGTTCAGTGGCAATACTGCTGCGGGATGAATGGAAAGTGTTGTTGGAGCCACCCATGTTGTTGTTCTCAGACTTGGTCTGCAGGCTGCGCATGCTGGTGGGTGTGGGCAGGGGCTTCATGGCGTTCAGGCTGTGGAATCTCTGCAGGCTCTTGAGGGAGGTGAAGCTTGGGTCCTGCGTTCTGACCGGGTCACTGGCACGACGGATTTCTCTGTCTGGGATTTCATGAGGTAATGGTGTGTGGCACGGTGTGCTGGTGCGCACACCGTCCATTTCTCGTCTTGCTGTGAAATATCTGTTTGAAATACAAGAAATGTTTTTTAAACATCAGTTTTATATTTGTTAGATTAATATAAATTTTTAAAACTACAATTATTACATTAGAGAAAGAATTCTAAAGAATTTACAAATAATTATTTTATTACAATTATAAAAATCAATGTAATGTCATAGCTGAAATTTTGGCAGGGCCCACACTCTGTCTTCACCTGGATAATCAGCTGTTATTAAAAACTAGAGTGATCACCAAATTAAAGCTGCTTTTAAAAAAATGGGCTGATTATATATATTTTTCAATAATAATTTTCAGTTAAGCCTGTCACATAACCACTATTAGGTGCAGTGTAACCACCCCTGAATTTTGACTTGGAAAATTTTGAGTTGAAGAAGGAAATTGATAAAGTTTGTCTTAACAACAGGAAACTGTACTACACAATTCTTTTTTGTAGGTAGAACAAGACTGGCAAGGGAGGGAATAATTCAATTATTGAAAAACTCTTCAGCATAAATTCATGAAAACAAAAAAAAACATAAAATTTTCTTAACAAATGTTTAAGTAGTAATTTACGTATAAATATATATATATATTTATAAACTGATAAAAAACATACCTAGCAAGTCTTTCATTACAATATTTATTTCCTACAATGTTGCCGAAGCCGATTGGATTTCCCATTCCGTTAACATTCCCATTGTTTGTATTGGTCATTGCCCCTGGTATAGGGGGGACAACTAAGTTGGACTGGCTGCCAAGGTTTGTTTTTTGCATCAGAGCCGACACACTTCCAATATTTGTGGAGCTTTCCCCACTGGATCTGCGAGAAACCGAATTCGGCAGATTCCCCGTGATGTCGTATTCGTACGGGGAGTTTGCAATACTGAGTCTGGCTGATACTCCGCTGGATCTTCTTGAAGAAAACTGAGACGCACCACTTGACCTGAAGAAATATGTAAATGTTGTGTAACATTATTATATACTAACTTAAATGTTTGACAAATTTACCATTATTTCTTTTAGTTAACATATTTAAAAAATTGTTTTTTTTTTATAAATAAAGAACTTTTTTAGGTTATTTTCTTTATTTGGCTGATTTTTGTACCTCCTAGATGAGAAAGTGCTTCCCATGGATCTCATGCTGCTCATGTATGAGCTCAGAGTACTGCTGTTACTTTCTCGTCTGCTGGCTGGAAGTAAGGTGTTCCCATTGTCCCGCCCTATTGGTGAATAAAATAAGAAAATTGACATTACAATCACATTTTTTTTTTTCAGCAATACAGTTAGCAAACTGACATTTACAATAACATTTTATTTTTCAACTCTTGATCAACACAGTTGGAAAATTGACATTTATAACCACTTTTTTTTTTATCAATACAGTTTGGAAAATTGACATTTATAATCACATTTCATTTTTCAACTTTAGATTAATATAGTTGAAAAATTGAGAGTTATAATCATATTTTTTTTTCAACATTGACATATAAGCTATAACTTTACAGTCTTAACAGCATGAGCAATAATTTCATGTAGGCTTTGTTGAGCTTAGATCAAATTGATGTATGGGTAGCACAGTAGCCCTAGGCTGTGCTAAGATCAAATTGAGTGTGTAGCCTGTGTTGTTGAGCTAAGATCAAATTGTGTGTGTTGCCTGTGTTGTTGTTGTAAGATCAAATTGTGTGTGTAGCGTGTGTTGTTGTAAGATGAAATTGTGTGTGTTGCGTGTGTTGTGCTAAGATCAAATTGTGTGTGTAGCGTGTGTTGTTGTACTAAGATCAAATTGTGTGTGTAGCCGGTGTTGTTGTGCTAAGATCAAATTGTGTGTGTAGCCGGTGTTGTTGTGCTAAGATCAAATTGTGTGTGTAGCCGGTGTTGTTGTGCTAAGATCAAATTGTGTGTGTATCCTGTGTTGTTGTGCCAAGATCAAATTGTGTGTGTAGTCGGTGTTGTTGTGCTAAGATCAAATTGTGTGTGTATCCTGTGTTGTTGTGCCAAGATCAAATTGTGTGTGTAGTCGGTGTTGTTGTTGTAAGATCAAATTGTGTGTGTAGCCCATGTTGTTGTAAGATCAAATTGTGTGTGTATCCTGTGTTGTTGTGCTAAGATCAAATTGTGTGTGTAGCGTGTGTTGTTGTAAGATCAAATTGTGTGTAGCCTGTGTTGCTGTGCTAAGATCAAATTGTGTGTAGCCTGTGTTGTTGTGCTAAGATCAAATTGTGTGTGTAGACTGTGTTGTTGTGCTAAGATCAAATTGTGGGTGTAGCCTGTGTTGATGTTGTAAGCTCAAATTGTGTGTGTAGCGTGTGTTGTTGTAAGATCAAATTGTGTGTGTAGCCTGTGTTGTTGTGCCAAGATCAAATTGTGTGTATAGCCTGTGTTGTTGTGCTAAGATCAAATTGTGTGTGTAGCATGTGTTGTTGTAAGATCAAATTGTGTGTGTAGCCTGTGTTGTTGTGCTAAGATCAAATTGTGTGTAGCCCATGTTGTTGTAAGATCAAATTGTGTGTGTAGCATGTGTTGAGCAAAGATGAGATAACCAACTGCTTGAACTCACATGTTCCCTGATGATCTCCCCCTACGATGTCAGCGATCCTTTTATGCTGAGGGCTGCCCTTTGGCTGGGGTCCTCTTGGTATTTCTGTTATTGATATCTGGGTTAGACCGCCACCATTATGCTGAGGTCCAACTAGAAAAAATTTCATTTTGTGATGTTATATCATCTTATATGCATTATTTTGCGTGAGTACGAATTAAAGTATGTTACATTTTATAATGATGTAAGTGAATAAGTAAAAATAGTGAAAACATTTTTAGAGCAGCATTCATCATTTTTCTTATTGATTATTCAAGAATACCATATAATGTTCTCGAGTTGCATGAAATGCATAAGGAAATAAGAGTTAAACAAAAGAAATAAAATTAAATGAACTAATGTTTGGGTAAAAAGGAACTATAAGAAAAAATAAGCAAAATTCTAACATTTTTTAAGCACGTGATTCAGGTAATACAAAACATAAACCGTTGATATACACGTACCAGGTATATGAGGTAGAGGGGAAATGGATCCTGTCTTGGAATTAATACGACCTTTCAGGCGGTTCTGCATCACATGGTTAGCATTTATCTGGTTTCTTCTGGTTAAGAGGGCACTGGAACCAGGGATCTTAGCGGAAAAAAATGTCAACAACCATTTAACATAAACACCAGGTACTGGATAGTTAAAAAACTAAATTTAAGAAATTTTAGTAAATGGAAACTAGGTTTTGATCATTTAACATCTACTTTATGAAGACATTTAGGATAGACAGAAATTCTGGACAATTTCACAATTAATCCAATTTTTTTTTACCTTAGCTTCATTGGATTATATTCTGAGCAATTTCACAAACATTCCAAATAATTACCTCAGCTTCATTGGATTACATTCTGAACTATTTCACAAACAATCCAAATTATTACCTCAGCTTCATTGGTTTACATACTGAGCAATTTCACAAACAATCCAAGTAATTACCTCAGCTTCATTGGATTACATTCTGAGCAATTTCACAAACATTCGAAATTATTGCTTCAGCTTCATTGGATTACATTCTGAGCAATTTCACAAACAATCCAAATAATTACCTCAGCTTCATTGGATTCCGGAATGTCAACATCCTCTTCTTCGATGCTAATTCCTATAGAATTTCCCACTCCGTTGTGGACTTCTATGTCGTGGCCAGGTCCTAGCCCACATGTCACATTGACCTCTGGACTGCTGTCTGGTGAGGGCTGTGAGTGGGAGGACGGAGCGGAGCCGATATTGTCCTGCAAATAGAATCAGTTCTAGCAAGTTATTTACTGCAGGGCCCAGAAACAGAGAATAGGCTTATTCATTGTTTAAGAAATAAAAAAAATATGAGGAAAATAGAAATTCAAAAACACTGAATGTATAGTTTATTTCTAAAAATGGAGCTTAGCCAATATTAATTATCCTGCAAATAGGAATCAGGTTTGAGAAAATTATTTACTGTCAGAGCCTACACACAGTGTATAAGCTAATTAACTATATTAAGAAATTAAAAATTATGAGGAAAATACAAATCTCAAAAACACTGATTGTGCAGTTAATTTCTGAAAACTTGTATAACTATTGTATTGAGAGATAAGCTAGAGGATTTCATTTGCTGTTGTAATAAATGTTCACATACAGAGAACTTCTTTTTGTGCTTTCATGCATGTTAACACGGAGAGCAATAACAAATAGTCTGAAAGCACCCAGGATGAAAGAACAAAAAAAGAAAGCATCTAGGGTAAAAGCACCTAGGGTAAAAAAAGCACCTTGGGTAAAAGCACCCAGAGTGTAAGAACCTAGGATGAAAGTGCGCACTGAGTGAAAGCACAAAGGGTGTAAGTCTTAAAGCACACTGAGTAAAAGCAGACAGTGTACAAGACAACTCACCTGAGATTGTCTGTTTTCACCTGAAGTGTGACCTAATGATCCTGTGACAGCAAGACCTTCCTCACCCCTTCTACTGGCATCACAAGTGTCATTATCCTACGGAAAAAAAAACATTTCACTGAAACACAGGACAAGTTAGTTGACAACACTAACAGTTTAACTTCTGTACTCGCATCACAACACTAACAGTTTAACTTCTGTACTCGCATCACAACACTAACAGTTTAACTTCTGTACTCGCATCACAACACTAACAGTTTAACTTCTGTACTCGCATCACTACACTAACAGTTTAACTTGTGTAGTGGTTACAACTACCATCACTACACTAATTGTTTAACTTGTGTGCTAGTTACATCTAGCATTAAACCATCCTTCACCCATCTACTAGTATCAGACCATCCCTCCCCCATCTACTACCATCAAACCATCCCTCACCCCATCTGGATCTTCTTTCTTCACATGACAACTGCCATCTCCTTTGTGCTTTTTGTTTGCGTAAAAATCCGCCCCATGTACAGTTTTAACATGTTTGCGTAAAGAACTTGGATCTGTGTATCTTTTTGTGCATCCAATAGCTTTGCAAACATAAGGTTTCTGTTAAAAAGGAAAAAAAATGTGTTGCATTAGTGAACAATTTTATTTCACACCAGACATTATTTCATATTCATTTTTTAGGTGTGTGGCTAAATAATTAATAATTATAAATATCTTGATGTAAATATTGAGGAGTCAAAGACTAAGCCAAAATATTACGATGCATGTGGGAAGACATAAAACACTAATTATAGCAAAGTATATCAACGACTGGAGGTTTCTTTTGTCTATAGAATGTTTTTATGACATAGTTGACTAACATCTAGAAGATTTTTCTGAGTAGAAGGAATGAATTAACAAAATTTGACTCACAGCATTGGAGTGGGTCCTGTTTTGATGCTTGGCTCTGTCTGAGGCATTGCTGAAGGCTTTAGTACATCCAGGGAACTCACACATGTATGGCTTCTCCCCTGTGTGGGAGCGTAGATGGGTCTTCAGGTTCTCTAGCCTGCTGTAGGCTTTGGTGCATCCTTCAAACTGCGGGTAAGTAAAAATTTTTAACTTTGTGAACGATTTGTGAAAAATGTACATCAAGTTGACAACAACACTCATAACATGATGAGCTACCTTCATCATACTGATAATGCAATAGTTATTTATCTTATTTAAAAAAATAAAACTAAATAAAAATTTTCCATGTTTTTATTTTTTATGGTATTAATTTTTGTTTGTAACACAGCAAGATATGTTTTAGGAAAAGACTTTTATAGTATAAACTGCAAAATTTATGTTTGTGTGCAATCAACGTACAGTGCATCGATGTGGTTTCTCCCCCGTGTGGCGCCTCATGTGCACCACTAACATATACTGGGCTTTGAATGGTTTCTCTTCTCGGCTACACTCCTGCCACCTACACACAAAGGACTTTTTATTGGATTGGATGTGATCTTGATTCAGATGCTGAAAAAATATAAAAAATGTTGTAAATAAAAAAAAATAATTTTAATTTTGTTTTATTTAAAAAGTATTAAAACCAAGTTTGATTAAAAATTTAAAAATAGTAATCTATATCAGATTTGAGTAATGAGAAAAAAAATAAGAAAAGCAATAGATGATAAAACTATTGTGACACTAATATTTTTAACAAATGACATAAAAATGTGAACTCAATTAAAAAGCCTCACCTTGACGAGCTCATCTTGCGTCTCAAACTCTCTGTTACAGTCGATCCAATGACAGTTGGTCTCAATGAAGTCTGGTTCTCCTTCTTGTGGAATGTGACCCCTGTCTCCAAAATTATCATCATCATCATCAGGCTCCATGGATGCTAAACGTGAAAATATCGCACAAATTCATAGTTTTAGTGGCAATAGTGTTTTGTTTCAACTTAATACAAAATCAGAAAATATTTGAAATATCAATTAAATAATATCTTTATGAAAATAAATGCTCTTCATCATTTAATTTAAAAATAACAACATGGGTTATAATGTTATAATTAAATATATAACTGCTATTACAGATATTCTTTTATCTATAACATTAACAAAACCTAACGATTTAAAATTTAATGCACTGACTACCAGCTTTTCTGAATAGATGGTTACACAAGATTTGAATTTTATTAACACTTTTTAAATTTTAATAAGGACCTAAGCCAAAACATTATTTGATGTACTCATTTAACAGAAATGTTTTCCTTTTTTATTTTGTTATTAAATCAACCATTTATTGTGAAAATATTTGTACCTATATGAACATGTTCTGTCTCTTTTTTGACTTTAATTTTCCTCATGTCCCCAGCATTGTCCATGGTACTGCTGACAATACTGCTCGAACCATGTTCTTTTGTTGTTGTGGAAATCTGATAAGGAGAGAAATTAGCAGTAAAATAACTTCTCAATCTTCATTCATTTAACCATTTTTTAAAACAGCAAAATATTGTCCTGGCCAGATGGTTGGGGGCTTTATTACTGATAATGTGATAACCCCACCAAAGTCTATAAAAGTAAACCTAACTTGGTCTCAATTATTTTCATCAAATTATTTTCTGTTTTTAAAATTAAAAACAGTTTCAAATATAGATCTAGCTAATAAAATAAAATATTCTAACATTGTGTTTTTGTTTTAAGTTTTAAGCAAATACATTTCAGACAAAGTGTATAATAAAAACCCTTAACAGGTGAAAGATTAGTTTTTTTTTAAAAATAATAAGGTTCTACCTGTGACTCAAACTTTGGGACAGGATGCGACTGGTGAGAACTAGGGGGCAGCATGGGGCCACTGGGTTGACTCTGCCGGCCCATGAGGGGATGGAGGGGTGGGTAAAAGAAACTTGATGGCGCCATCCCTCCAGGCCGCAGGTATGGATTAGATGGAAGTATGGGGTGGCCCGGGCTCACAGTGCCCACAGAAGCTGCAGAAATAGAACAAATCATTCACATTAAAACAGTAATGGTAACACACAGATTAAAACAGTAAAAATAATACACACATTAAAACAGTAAAGGTTACACAAAAATTAAAACAGTAAAAATAATACACATTGAAACTGAATAAAAAGATCACATACACTGAAACTAAATAAAAATAGCACATACTGAACCGGAAAGAAAATAATACACAAAATGAAGCAATAAAAAGAATACACAAATTGAAACATCATAAACCGATACACATTGAAACAGCATAAAATACACACATTGACGCCAATAAAAATAAACCGAAGCACATAAAATAATACATACTTTGAAACATAAATTATTAATATGTGATAAAATAAATTATTAAATTTCTTAGTATAGAGACATATTTTGAAAAGACGGATACCAAACCTGCAGAAAGATGTCCATAGGATCCACTAGCAGCACTAGAACTGCGAGAGTTGTGCTGTAGAAATGGCGCCAGCTGTAAGGAGCCCTCGGAGCTGCGGGTCAAGCTCTGGATGTCCAGGTAGTCTGAGATAGGAGAGTGCGACAATGCCCTCTTTCTCGTCTTCCCTCCTCCAACAATGCTAGGTCTTGGACTTGTCAAACGAGAACCTGTTAATTAAAATTTTCATCCATTTATAATGAAATATTAATTAGAAGCTACAAAATTGCATGAAACTGCTTTTTCTGTTCATTGTCAGTGCAACAGAAGCAGCTGGAATGTTGTGGACCTAGCTTGTCAGAATTGACCGAATCCAAGTACAATGAAGAGCTATGTTCCCTCTAAGCTGCGCGGTCGTGCAGTAGTTTTTAACTGCCACGCAGTCATTTTGTAAAATGCATGTATCCTTATATAAGTCTTTTAGAACACTGCGCACCCAAAATATACATTACATACAATCTTTTTTCCCTTAGAGGGAACATTGATGAAGAGGCATGGTTGTGTCCTTTTGCTACATAAGCGATCCACAGGAATGATAATGATAATTAGATAGAAAGTAGCCTATTTTATAATTCAAGAAATCAGTCATAATCTGCTAAAGAAAAATTAAAACGCTATGAAAAAGTTCCTTACTGTCTAGGGAGCCAGGCAGGGTGATACTGCCAGACCCAGGGGTGGGGGGTACATCAGAATACAAACTCCTCCCACTGAGTGAGGGGGGAGGGTACTCCCCTATCAATGGACTAGCACCTAAAGGAAGACCTGGAAAAGGAATAGAAAGAATGAGTCATTATTATTTGGTCATTTAATGTCAGCTTTGCATAGTTGTACAACAGTAAAACATTGCGAGATAAACTTAAACAAAAAGTTTTTATTTTGAATAGTATGTATCAGGTTATAAGTGATGATTTGAAGATGTGTGTAGTGTTCTGGAAAATCTTTTTTTGCTTTTAAAAGGGCTCCTGTGAGTTTGGACTTACTTTATATTTGTTGTCATTGTCAAGGGTTTATATATAATTATATGAAAGATTGTTTTTGGGTGAAAAAAATAGAGAAGAATGACACAAGGGCTAAATATTTGTGGCAATGGCAAGACAAAGATTTAAGTTATGATAACCATTTATAACCTTTGTAATGACAGTTTAGCCTAGGTCACACTCAGCTTCTCATTAAAAAAAAGAAGAATTAATTTGATTGCATTACAGTAACGTCTAAAGATGCGGACAGCACAGGGTGACACCATTCAAATAACACTAAATGTAATGACAAAGTCTGTTTCTAATTTAGCTTAACAGCTAAATGTACACTTTGGTGCCACCATCTGAGATAGGGATGACATCATATTACTTAAAGTTTTAGAATATTATTGCCATTGACAAAAAGGGTGACACCCTGGGTTACTGCTCCAGGTGTCACAAAGATAAGCCCAGCCACTAATGCAAAAAGTGCATGTGCAAAAGATTAAGCTTGTCACTTTTTGCCTGCTCCAAATTAATACATGCAAGCAACCTTGAGTGTTACAGTTAGAAGTAAAGAAAAACAGACATTTTCATGCAAATCATGTCCCAATGTAGCCCTCTTCAATAAAAACTAAAAGTATTAGATTCATAATAATAATCTTTTTTGGTGGCGGAGATTAACGTCTTTGGAGTGAATTATCTATAAAAGATCCACCCAGCCTAGTGACAGAATGTTTACTTGACTTAGTCCTCTTTGCTCCTTGTAGGACATAGCACCTCAACCATACCCTTCCACTTTGTCTGGTCCATGGCTATTGATTTTGTAATCTCCCAAGACATGCTACTAGTGACTCCCAAGACATGCTACTAGTGACTCCCAAGACATGTTACTACTGACTCCCAAGACATGCTACTAGTGACTCCCAAGACATGCTACTAGTGACTCCCAAGACATGCTACTAGTGACTCCCAAGACATGCTACTAGTGACTCCCAAGACATGCTACTAGTGACTCCCAAGACATGTTACTACTGACTCCCAAGACATGCTACTAGTTACTCCCAAGACATGCTACTAGTGACTCCCAAGACATGCTACTAGTGACTCCCAAGACATCCTACTAGTGTCTCCCAAGACATCCTACTAGTGACTCCCAAGACATGCTACTAGTGACTCCCAAGACATGCTACTAGTGACTCCCAAGACATCCTACTAGTGTCTCCCAAGACATGCTACTAGTGACTCCCAAGACATGCTACTAGTGACTCCCAAGACATGCTACTAGTGACTCCCAAGACATCCTACTAGTGACTCCCAAGACATGCTACTAGTGAGTGACTCCCAAGACATGCTACTAGTGACTCCCAAGACATGCTACTAGTGACTCCCAAGACATGCTACTAGTGACTCCTAAGACATACTACTAGTGACTCCCAAGACATGCTACTAGTGACTCCCAAGACATGCTACTAGTGACTCCCAAGACATCCTACTAGTGTCTCCCAAGACATGCTACTAGTGTCTCCCAAGACATGCTACTAGTGACTCCCAAGACATGCTACTAGTGACTCCCAAGTCATGCTACTAGTGACTCCCAAAACATGCTACTAGTGACTCCCAAGACATGCTACTAGTGACGCCAAGCTAGCATGAATAAAAGACTACCTGGCAGGCTGGCGGGACTAAACCTGCGACTAGACAAGGGGTTGTAGTAGTTCCTCTGTAACTGTTCCCAGTGGATCCGTGATGCCAGTTGTGTCACAGGCTCGCCTGGAAGCAGGGGACTGCGCATACTTAACAGAGAGAACTCAGATTGGGTAGGGCTGGAGGACAACCTGAAAACACATTATTAGCTTTAATTAAGGTCAGTAGGTCTTTGACCTAAATATGACCTGAAAACACATTATTAGCTTAAATTCAGTTCAGTAGGTCTTTGACCTAAATATGACCTGAAAACACATTATTATTTGCTTTAATTAAGTTCAGTTGGTCTTTGACCTAAATATGACCTGAAAGCACATTATTAGCTTAAATTCAGTTCAGTAGGTCTTTGACCTAAATATGACCTAAAAACACATAATTAGCTTTAATTCAGTTCAGTTGCTGTGTGACTTAAATATATGTTATGTTGTAATGTGTAATAAAAGACATTTTTTTTTATGATCAAAGACAATGCTAAGAGGTCTTAGTTTTGCATTCTAAAGAAATCAATTAAAATTGTTCATTTCATTTTTCAGAAAATTTATCTAAACCACTAGACTGAGACTCTAGACCTACAGTTATAATTAACTGAAACTAATTTCAAAACATTGTATGTAACGCTTTTTAAGCTGAAATTTGTATTTAGAAACGAGTAATCTCCTGCAAAAAAATTGACATCAACAAATACATCTTATACATTTGCTAAATAAACATTTTGTAAATCAACCATTTTGTAAAATAATGACAAAAAATTAGGCGAAACTATAATTAAATTTTAGTATCTCAAAAACTTTGTGAGAATTTTCAAAAATTGTTCACTGAAAATAGTGGTGGAACAAATACAGTTTAAAAAGAAAATAACAGCTTACCCATGAAGATGATGGAAGGGGGAGGTTGGGGGCCAATGGTATCGGCCTTCCAGTGTGGAGGGGTTGAGGGGGAGTGGGGTGTTTATTGGGTACGGATAGTGAGCATAACCATAGGGTAGACCTGGGGAAGAAATAATCTATTTTTAGCAACAAGTTTTATAATGTATAATACATTCATCAACTTAGACCTAGCCGATTACGGCTATTGAAAATACAAACTTAACATACATCATCACTACAACTTTAAGCCTATAACTCTGTGATATGATGATCATCATTTTATAATTTCAGTACGGAATCGGGGTGCGGGTTAAAATAAGCAGACGGCATGATCTTCTGCCCTATGTGTACTGTCTGTACTGGGACCAACTCGCTGTTCGGGAGGGGGAGGGGGGAGATAAATGACCGTTACGGTCTGCTGGCTACAATATCTAGTCAGCCCCAACATTCCCGTGTCCTTTCTTTTATTTTTATTTTTTGTCACTTGCGATGCTACATTCCAGTCCGATTTTGTGTATGTGTGTGTGTGTGTGTGAGTGTGTGTACACGCGTCTAAGGCAGCCCTGAGCAATTGAGAAAAACAAATTAAACACAGTTTATTTCTTTACTGCTGAACTGATGCCCAAAAAAATCACGCAGATTACGTAGCAAGTTTTAAACCGTTTACGTGACTGTTAAAATTACGTACAACTGCATTTATTTTTAAAAAATTATTTGTATAGAAATCTAGATGCGGACCAATTAGGAAGGACATATTTTTAAAAAATTAGCAATCCTTTAGAAATAGTCGGCCAAAAAGACAGACCATGACCATGTTTCATACGAATGGGTAGCGTATAGTGTATTGTAGTGTATATTTCTAGATCTAGTACGTTCTATGCCCAGTTGCCTATACTTTCCCTAATTTGAGTCATGTACGTTTTCCATCATGGCTTATTAGACAAAAAATCGTAACTCGAGGTTTTTGGTTAACAGTCGTGTGCTTTACCGCTCGACCACGCCGTCACTTAACATACCAACTACAACATGATAGCACTTATATAGAGCAAGATCTAGATACATTTTGTAAACAATGAACTTAAAATCTTTTGCAACTAAAAACTTAGATTTTGGATGATAATTAAAAAATGCCCATTTTTCTCAACCTCATGGTCAATAGGGCAGATGAAGTAGAGTTCAACTGTTTCTGTGGCATTGAAAGGATTATGTGGACAATATATCTTCACTCTCCCCCTCCCCCTCTTAACCCTTGTTTTTTTTCTGATACTTATCTCATATTTAGCGTACACAGATAATTTAAACACTAATTATAAACACACACACGCTCATATGTTCGTATGTGTGTTTCTTTCAGACCTCCCTCCTCCCCATTCACTCCCTCCTCCCCATTCTCATTCTGCAATTACTTGTGCTGGCCAGGTTAGGCGAGTAGAGGAACTGACCATAGGCCTCCAACAGTCCATTCCTGGTCGGGTCGGGGAAAGGCTGAAAGCTTAGGTACGCTGGTAGCCTGGGTTCGGATCCCGACGATGTGGGTGGAGGGGGCAGGGGGGTGGGCCCAACCCCTCGATCAACCGTTTCCACCGAGCGAGCCCCCGATTTGCGACCATCAGAGACACTGGGTTCCTCATCAACGCGAGTGATGTGACTGCTGGGGGGTCGGCTCACCTGGTTGACCCGTAGACGCCCCTTTTGGTGCGGATCTGTCAAAGAGAGGAAAAAAAAAGATTATGTTTTGGTGTGTCAAATTTATTGTAAATTTTACACTTAAAAAATGTAAACGCGCATCTATGAGAGGAAAAAAAAAAGATTATGTTTTGGTGCGTCGAATTTATTGTAAATTTTACACTTAAAAAATGTAAACGCGCATCTAAGAGACGAAAAAAAAACACTATTTTTTGGTGTGTCGAATTTATTGTAAATTTTACACTTAAAAAATTTAAACGCGCATCTAAGAGAGGAAAAAACATTATGTTTTGGTGTGTCGAATTTATTGTAAATTTTACACTTATAAAATTTAAATGCGCATCTAAGAGAGGAAAAAACATTTTTTTAAATGTCGAATTTATATTTAAAATTTTACGCTTATAAAATTTAAATGAGCATCTGCCTAAGAGAGAATAAAAGAACAATGAAAAATATGTAAGGAGAGAATTAATACAAGTTTGCATTAGAATCTATTCTAATTATTTATACATTTCACATTGAAATTTTTTAATGATGATCTGAGAATGAAAGAAGAAAGTAAATGATGATAGCGGCCTAATGAAAGTTAGTGATATTCGTAAATAGATCCGTATAAAGAGTGCAAAATAAGTCTTAATAACAAAACCTCACAAGTCTTAAAGCTATGGGAAATATAAAAAGCAGGGTTGGCCCATAATATTTGGGTCTTTAAAGTGCAGTTAGTGGACTATTTTTATACATGATAGACTCTAAAAAAAAGAGAACATTCAAAAATAGTAGTCCTATGAGTAGTTCGCACTGTTGTGTAGAAATGTAAAAATGTAACAAGAAAAGGGATTAAACATTGAACAATCATTTTTCGAAAAAAAAAGCACAAAAATCTGGACGTATCAATCGTGTCGCCAGATAAAGCGTCATGACGTCACCTGCCTTTCTCTAAATGTGAGCACCTGACATCCAATTATCGATATTTTCTGACACGAGTTGGGCAAATTCTTGCGCACTGGTTCGCGGGTTAAAAAAAATATTCAAAACGACCAACCATTATAATGCTATTTTTATGTAAAAAAAAAATCAGAATGTTTCGGATCTTCATCATTAGAAAAGTGAAATGGAAGCTTTCTATTTTTATCTTGGTCGAAAAGTGTGTCAGTCCATGTGTTTGTACAGCGTCAACGAAGATTTAAATACGAAGGGAGAGAATCCTTTTGAAATTTAGAAAAAAGATGAACAGCCTCCCACTTAAACTTGAATAAGAACAAACTTTAAAAAATCGCCCCAGAGATTAATTTTTGTTACTTTAAATATTTAAATTAGTTGAAGATGACGTCCATTTCTTTTTCAGCATTACTAAATTAGCCTTTTATGTTGCTGATAAAATAATTAGCTTTGTAGTTAGGGCTTTATTGAATAAACAATTACACATTGGATAATATTTTAATACAAAAATCTATACTTTGGTGCTAGGATAACAAGCGCTTGGGATGTGTGTGTGTGTGTGGGGGGGGGGGGTTCATCCATAAATAAGGTTACAAAAAATACAATGAAAAGTACATTTTAATTTTTTTTTGAAGAATTATGTTTTTTTATGGATACATTGATCATTGAGAATGTTTGCGACGTCTTTGTATTTTGTAACGAAACGTGACTGTAGAAGGTTTGCGTATAACCAGCTTAAATAGCGTGACATCATGTATAAACACTTCTTGTAAAAAAAATTGCACTACTTTTTAGACGTTGAACCTTTGTCACTGTGTTACATTTTTCTCAAGGATAAAAAGTGCATAGCATATTTTCTTCCAAATGATATCTTTAAAAGCCCCTCCACCCCTTCTCCAAAGCGATAGGTAGACAAACGGACAAGCTGACCAAAGAAATGACTAGCCATTGAATCGGCAGACACATCGACATGGTATTTTATTGACATACAAACATTATTAAAAGGGTAAGTATAGGCTGTGCCACAAGAAACAAGGTACACATTGAAGCGATCAACGGAGCGTGACATCCATTGACGAGGGCATGGTCGTGTCGCCTGATAGACACGGTGGAGTGTTGACATTTTCAACACTGACACACAATACCGACAGGTACGGCTCATGGCGAGACAGGCTGGGGGACGGGGAAGGGGGTGGGGGATATGAAATTAGTGCTTTCTTTAAATTCACAAGCTGGTTGAATAAAATACGAGAGGAAAAAAAAAGATGGCGGTTAAAACAAAATTATTATTCATTATTCAGTAATTTAAAAAAAAATTGAAGGAGTTGAGACATGCGCAGCACATTGGTGACGTCAAACGTGTGAACAGTGACGTGTGCACAAGATGGACGCCAATAAAAAGCGCTTGCATAACGTCGGAGTGTTGTTTGCAGGCTAGTGAAAGCAGATGTATTTATTTGAAAACTTAACACATTCGCGCCATTTTTTGTTGACTTAGGTCGCTACAAGGGTGATTGTCCTACATAATGATTTAAGTATTCTCGCCTACTAGACACCTTAATATTGTTTAATACCTCTAGATGGACTTAACCATAACCTTTACACTTGATATATCGTTATCAGTTTTTCTATTGTGTGCCTATCATCTATGTGAGTAACCAAAATCTACTTGCTAATCCAAGAATAGGTTGCTTGTCATATTTTAAAAAACTTAAATATACATTTTTTGAATTTTCAAATTCTGTAATTGCTTTACAAATTGGAAAAAAAATGCATGGAAGTATGAATATAAAGTCTGCTTTTCAAGATATAGACAGATAAGAAAGATACGGGGACATTTTTATAGAACGAAAAAAGAACCCAGGGTCGGTAACTCTGTGCCTTAATCTCCCCCAAGTGGCAAACTTCCTTCGTTTTATTTCCATTTTGACCGCCCTTTGAGGAACCTCGGTGTGCGGGGGATACCTTAACAATGCGCGCCCCAGCCCTGTAATAATAGGGTCTCCCCGGGCCGACGTCTGCTTAAAGCCCCCCTTTCTCGCCCTACCTTCCCTCGGGACGGTTAATCAAGCGTAAGAGGGCCCCAGTATGTTTCATGCGCTGAGGCTATCAAAGTTTTGAATAGACGGTGCACAGGAAAAAATAACACCCACACACATTTATTCTGCCCCTAGGCGGTGTTGGATTATTTTGTCAACCCTTATATTTTTCGATGGCAAAAGCACAGGTTATTTTTTGCCCCTCAAGCTTTGTGTTACTTAAAAAAAAAGTTCAGATGTGGCTATGTGCTGGTCAAAAAGAGGATTAAAAACATCACTTATATTTATTCACAAAATGATGTAATTAAATGCTTAAAGTATAATCCTGAAAAGTAAAATACGGGAGAGAAAAATCCTCTAAAATATATGGACTTTTATAGGATGAGAATGGAGCATTCGAAATAAACAGGAGACTTATAAAATACAAGAATGACGAAATATGTTTTAAAAAGGGATACAGCGCTAGTTGGGTCATATCGAAAGAATTACAAATCTAGGAGGGGATGAAAGTGGTGTATAACCACAACCACAAAGGGAAACGACCAAAATTTAGAACTAAGCCCATATCTCCATATGATTATGTGGAGACAGAACCACGGCTTGGAATCGAGACATACAAGAAGACCTAAGATACATCTAATTGGAAGAGGGTGTTGAAGTAGGCCAAGTCTCTCCATGGGCTGTAGAGCCACAGGAAGGGTATAATTCTAGAACATTCAACCCATATCACGGGTATTTTCTGTGGCAATAAAAAAAAATTGCTCCACATCTCAACACAAACACCTTATACATGGGCCTACACACTTGTCGCCTCAGTTACACCCCCCCCCTTCCACTCACACACACCTGTGCTTTCCCCATAAATCCATCCCTATCACCCGATCAATGTAAAACTGTCAGCAGTCTGACAAATATGCTCACAGGCTAATCAAAGGTCGTGGGAACAACCAAAAAGATAAACCTTAAATTTGCTTGAACGAAACAATAATTTAAAAAGATAAATTATTTTGAAAATGAATTTATGAAACAGATCCAAGTGATTTAAGTTTAAATTTAGTGTTTTGTCCTGTATGAGGCATGTCTTTACTAATGACATACTTTATTCTTTGGAAAAAAAAACAGCAAAAAAAAAATAATAAGATAAAAAATGAAAAATAAAAAAATAATAAAGAAAGTAAAAAATAATTTAAAAAAAAAAACAGCAAAAAATATAAGGTAAAAAATGAAAAAAAGAATAATAAAAAAAAGTAAAAAAAAACAAAAACAAACTTTAAACGTATTACTTCGGCACCCTAGAAAAAAAAAGTAATATTGTGTTGGATTAAAAAAACAACAGACTAACACAAAAAAAGAATTTAAAACAGTTTGATAAAAAAAAAACTTCTTTTGTGGAACGATTCGTTTTCGTAAAGTACTATAAAGCAAGCTCACACACTAACTACACACTTTGTCTACACACCTCACCCCGCACTGTACCAGCCCCCAAACACACCACCACCAACCCCTCTCGCCACGTCAGCCCACCCAGCCTCGCCCGTCACGCCTCATTTAGTCTCCACCTTTCACGGCAAGACAGTCCCCCTTTTGATGCGCCTCTACCCCGGGGATGGGACAGTCTGGGTGGCACCCAGCACCCCTGACCGGCGGCACAAAAGAGTCACCGACGGCTGAGCAGACTCCAGCGGGTGCCAGATTCTCCGCAGCAGTAAAACGGCAATTATCTGGAAGCCATTCATATTTTTATTGCATAACTGCAGCTTAGGATGGAATAGCCATCATAAAGGGGGGAGCATCAGATGAAAGAAGACATCGGGGATGTATTGTGTGTCGGCGGGGAAGCCACCCATAGCCAAGTTAGGAGGCGACCTTTAGAACCGAGGTGGGAAAGGCACATCAGATAAAAAGTGGTAACTTGGTGTTGAAAAACGCACTTTCTCTAGTACAGATATGTTCGAGTATTTAATAAACCTTGTATGTACTTATGCTGGGGACTTTATACGGCTGAGTTTACTTGCATGGAACTTTGATGAAAAAAAATTCCCTATGAAATTTTAAGTAAAGATGGGGGCAACTTTTTCGGGGAGGCATGGACACTGCCAGTCCACCCCTGTATTAGCTAAAATGTTCAAGAACCGTTAAGCACGTACAGCTATTAAAGCATGTTAGCTCCACGTTGAGAGATAAGGCGAGATGGTAGAGAGGCAGGATCGAATCCCACTTAGACACAAGTCTGTGTAGCTGCTAGAGTAACTTATGATTGTGTTAAAATATCTGTGTTAAAATACCCCAATTGGCTTTGTCCAATAGCTAGAGTAACTTATTACTATGTTAAAATATACCATTAGCTAGCTTTTATAGCTAGAGTAACTTATTACCGTGTAAAAATATCTGTTTTAAAATATCACATTAGCTTGACCAGATTCTCGTGTAATCTACAAGTTACTATACATGAGCTATAAGTTACCTGTGTAGATTTACTCCATTTATAATTATAATATTCAAATACATTATCCACCGATGTTAAATACACATTTTAGACAGACCTCAAGTAATTTTTGTACCTTTAAATAATAAACGAACAAGACTGAAAATGTTACTATGGAATCCTAGGCTCGATCATGTAACATAAACCTCTTATAATTTGCACCCCCCTGCACCCCCTCTAACCCACCAACTGATGGCCATATGAAGCCATTGTCTCCAAATGTATTTGTCTTGAACTACGCTATGTACAATTTATAAGGAAACAAACCCACTGATGCTGGTGTGTTTTGCACACCAACGGTTGTCATAATTTACATCACCTACAGCTGACTCGATACAGCATTTGGCATAAGCCTAGGCCATTGTAACAAAATCATCAATAAAAAATAACACGAATACATAATGATAATGCTAGTAGTTGCGTTAACCAAACAGTATTGATGTAATTGATGTAATAGACAGACGTTAGATGTAATTGGTGTAACCAATAGCTGAGACAGCCAAGCCGTGTTGAAGAAAATACAAATTATTTACCTAGTTGCCACTGGCAACCTCACAGAAAATGGCGTCTTTTCTATTGTAGCAATTCTAAATGACAGCATTCATAGACTTTGACAAAGAAATTATGGATTTTAGCAACCACAACATAATAGGAATATAAAAATCTGAATCGGTCTGTCAGTTCGTAAATGATTTCAAATTTGACTTAAAGAAGCTTTCTTTATGAGTCGCGTACCAAAAATACGCGAGAGACATGTATTATACTTTTGGAGAGATTACCCCCCCCCCCCCCCCCCCCAACACACTTTCATTAATAATAAATTAGGTTTATGGTTGATACTGAGTTACAAACTCGATGTATTTTAGGTAAAATGTTTGTTATTATCGCCGATTATACAGTTATTAAAAAATACATATTGTTTAATTTAAAAAAAGGGTCTTACTAATACACGACGGTATTAAAATAACTTATGTCGCTATTTATTTTTTTAATGTTTTTGGAAACACCCTCCTCCTCTTTGGGTGATGATTGACCTCTAAAAATTACATAACTATTGTGAATAGTGTGGGGGATGCACAGCTGCCTATTTCCATTCGGAATATTTTCCGCTGTTTATTCATAATGTTTATTAAAAAAATAAAACCCTCAATTTGGAATATACTACACGTGTTTTGGGTCTTTGGCTAGAAAAAGGAATTCGTCAGTTTTACATTGGATTACACTAATTACGACTAATTACATTAATACCGTTCCTTGCTCTTTACAAAACAAATGAAAAAACAAAACCACTGTATTAACATATTTCACTGTCTGGTTATATTGTTAGATAATAATTATATTGACTAGGAACGTGATACCAAGATTGTAATCTAATTTAATTTTATAACTGACTAATTACTGACTGCTGACGAAAGATTTAGTAATTAAACACCAGTTCACGCCACGCGACGGAAATTTAGCAAAATTCAAATAAACAAAACCAAGCGTTAACTAACATTGAGGATAAACTAATTGGGCTGCTAATTAAGCAGCTATCCATGTCACGGAAAGCTTAATTTACTTGAATTCTGCAAACATTTAGCTTCGCTAATCTAATAGTATTATTTCACATTTTTATTCGACAAATATTAATCCAAATGGATTAATTCAGCTATTTCAGGGCAATAAAGGCGGATAAATGACAGTAAACTAAACTAAATATGTCATGCTAATTCTTAACTTTATGTAAACCATTATATCGGCTTAACTTTATGTATACCATTATGTCAGCTTAACTTTATGTACACTATTATGTCGGCTTATTTTTTATAACCACAGCTGTGTCGTATGTGTTGATATTCACAGAGATACAAGATTCGTATTGTTTAATCTGTTTTTTAGAACGTTCAGGGCTAGTGAATAGATAAAAAAAGGCTTTGAAGATTTTCGCAGCCATATAATTCAAATTTAACTTTACACCTTCGTTACAAGTTTTAGAAACAAATACATTAAGAAGCGTTTAAAGGAGCATTACCATTCAAGATGTGAGGACACCGGGCCATATGACACGGTCACCCACTATTTAGCGACCGTTGTTATTGTAAAGCATACAGACACTACCACTATTGTTTTTGAGGACCTTTATTTCTGTAAAGCATTATAGAAAATCACACAAAAGGTGAATACCCCCTCCTAAAACTGCTCGAAAACCCATGAGTTCAAAAGCCCATCCGAAGCCTAGGTATAACATCGCTCACTGCTTGAAGACGACACCAGATGCTTTGAAACTCCTTGCACACCTCGCATTTCGCACCACACTGAAACGCACAAATGAGCCCATTCTATATGTTTTGTTAACCAACAGGTTAAGTCACCTACTGAAGCTACCCTTGCAGGCTACCTGCGAAGATGTAGGCTACACGCAGGTATCAGGTCACGTGACTCCCGTAGCCATGTGATAAATGCGTGTAGGTGTGGGGCCTACACCAGCGGGGCGGGTGGTATGGGCCCAATTATCTCACCCCACCTCCCAACAATTCTGGCCATTGTTTGAATTCGACCAGGGGGGATAACTCTAAATCTGCATTAGTCATGGAACAGCCGGAAGCGGTTGGGCAACGTGGGAATACATCTATGCCATTGTTCTACATACAAAGAATAGCTGTGTGGCGTAGCTAGGGTATTTGTTGCCTAGTGTTGACATACTGTTAATGTTTCCGAATTAATAAAACAACAACAAAAATTGGATGAATTTGCTGTTATTTTAACCTATTTTTGTGTGGTCTGATACCTGGTAGGCCCACACGAACAAGGTGTATTACCTTGACATTTGGTACACTATTGGAATACCTGCATTTTTTTCTAATTCAATTTTTTGGTCTAATTCTTAACCACGAGGAGACTTAACACGATTACGTTTAAGGGTTAAAGAAAATATTTCTGAAACGCGGGCACAGAAGCCATTTCAAGAAGACATTTTGCACCCCATCTCCATTTCTCAATCGTTTACTCCATTCCAAAATATTCTGGATGCAATTGTTTTCCTAGTATCGCTACCGTAACCCTAACCTGTGCGTCGACCCTAATCCTGAATATACCTCTGGTTTTAGTATCGATACCGAAAGAAAAGATAAGCTTTGATGCGATACCGTCCTGTCTGGTTTATTGTTCAAGAACCAGCAGATGTTGAAAGACAATGCCAGAACTCAATACATCGAATACAGCACATGTTGAAGTTCATCTGCGCACCAAGAGTTGGGAGGTGTTTGTGTTTTTTAGCTCACCGGGTCGGTGCGGCACGGTGCGAACACCGGAAGTGACGTGTTTTATGAATTTCGTATAACGCGGCGGTGTCGGGTAGCCGACCAATGAAGGTGGATGTGTTAGTCTGGGGGGGGGGGGGGGGGAGGGAGGGGGAGGGAGAAAAAAAAAGTTGGAGAAAACAAGGAAATTAAAGATGACGGGGTCGGGGAGATAGTGCGCAAATGTCGAGGGGGGGGGGGGGGGGGCGCCCTCACTGCTCAGCTCTACGGGGTGGGGGTTAGGGGAATGAGGAAATAAAGATAAGACAACCAGAGGCACGAATATAATGGTGAGGGGAGGGGGGAAAGCGGAGGGGGTCTTAGCGGGAGGGGAGAGGGTGGAATGTATAATGTTTCCACGCTGGGTTGTAAATAGTTCGTTCAGGGTCAAAAACAAGAATTAGAAAAGTTTTTTTTTTTTACAATATAGTCAAATATTAAAACACAAGACATTGATGTAGAACAGTGGCGGTGGCAGTGGGGGTATGGGGGCACACTTTCTATACACTAAGTTGAAGGGGCTGGCCTCTTTTTATAGAGGCTGAGTCTACAGCAAATACATCGGAAATTCAAACGTATAATATAAATCTAATAATACGTTATATATATATGTATGTATATATATATATATATATATATATATATATATATATATATATATATATATATATATATATATATATATATATATATATATATATATATATATATATATATATAAATATACTATGTAGGTTTTAAAAAGTAAATTGAGGACGTTTTAATAGTTTAAGTAAGAGGAGGGTTAGAAAGCGAAAGAAATATATCTCTGGCCCAGTAATAATGTAAACCCCAGTTTGCTGATGTGAATTTAATCAGCTCAAGACAACCGTTGACTTTCCATACAGTGTTGTTTTTGTAGTATCCAAACACAAGGCTAAATTTTCTTGCTGGACCATGTACGCACGTACACATATAGACCAAAGTCTTGTACACACAGCGACCAAAATACAGAACCACTGCGAAAACATGTACACAAAGTCGAAACATGTACACATAGATGTTAAACGCATGTCTATAAAGAGAGCTAAACCATGTACATATTGAGCTTAAACAATCAGAACTGTGTTCTAATCTGGTAAAAATCTAGCTCCTACACGGACAAAAAAGTAAAGTTATATTTTAACAATGGTGTGTAACTACAAACAGCAGTAGGACATCAAAAGATACTTTAGTTCGGAGGTCACTGATACACCAGCCATACAGCCCGTGTAGGGGGGCGGGTCAGGTTTTTGGGTGGGGGGGCTAGTATGTGATGACCTGTTATCTTGTCTTATCGTTTTATAGTCTCTGGTGTCAGAGGGTTAATGAAGGGAGGAGGTGGGAGAGGGGTGGTTCAAAGCGACCTTGACTCAGCAAGGTCACGGGAGGACGAAGACACGGAAAATAAAACAAGATTAACAAAAGATAAAAAAAAATAATCCCTAATTTAAACAACAGATTAATTTCTTAATATTTAGTTTTCTAAATACAGAAAATAAGCACGGAACTGTCTTTTGTCATTGCATATTTGTCCAGTATCTAGCCCATTTATACCAGCTTGTAAGTCAAGTAACATTCCCACTTATCCCAGATAGTGAATCGAGTATCTTGCCCATTATTCCAGATAGTGGATCGAGTATCTTGCTCACTTATCACAGATAGTTAGTTGAGTATCTTGCCCACCCATCACATATAGTTAGTTGAGTATCTTGCACATAATCCCAGATATTGAGTTGAGTATCTTGCCCATAATCACAGATAATGAGTTGAGTATCTTGCCCATAATCCCAGATATTGAGTTGAGTATCTTGCCCATAATCACAGATAATGAGTTGAGTATCTTGCCCATAATCACAGATAATGAGTTGAGTATCTTGCCCATAATCCCAGATATTGAGTTGAGTATCTTGCCCATAATCCCAGATATTGAGTTGAGTATCTTGCCCATAATCACAGATAATGAGTTGAGTATCTTGCCCATAATCCCAGATAGTGGGTTGAGTATCTTGCCCATTATCCCAGATGGTGAGTCGCGTATCTTGCCCATTATCCCAGATAGTGAGTTCAGTATCTTGCCAACCTATCCAAGATAGTTGAGTATCTTGCTCACTTATCCTGCTGTCCCACTGAGATAATGCCAAACGCAGACAGCAGCGTTTCGCTCTAAAAGATGTAGCTGTAGCTAGAAAAAAAATGGCATCAAATGTTCCCCAGGTTCTCGCAGCAATTAGCTGCAGCAGTTTCTGGTTCCAGGTTCTGGAGCTGTATGGAGATTCCAGACATGGGGACTTTAGCAGACGAGACGTCATGCCGAGGGGGAGGGAGGGGGTCATGTCCACGTCTGCCCGTGTCTACTGTTGGGGAACATTTTTTGTCTTTAAATGTTTGAGCTTTGAACAGGAGTTTAGAGTTTTCGCCCCTTCATGTTGACAAACGTTTAGTAAAAAAAACAAAATGATTAAAGAATTAGAAAAAATTGCGAATTAACCTTGTTTATTTTTTTAAGGCAGGGTAGCGCTGTTTAAATAAATTTAGCATAGAAAATTCCCCCCTTCCCACCCATTACGCAATTAAAGTAAAAGTTTTTTAACATATTAAAAGAAACGTTTAGAACATTAACATCTTTAAGGTATGCACTAAAAAAATAATAATAAACATAAAACGACTTTCTTTAAATATAAAACAATGTACCACTAGTTAAATAACTATAACGAAAATCGTGGGTTGTTTATACAATTTTAGTAAGGGCATTCAATACATATTTTTTTACCAGCATCTCGTTGGGTGTACGGTGCTGTGAATGTGTAACAATGGAACACACATACACCAATTTAAAACGATTAACGGGTACGTTAATTGAGTCTGAAGCGCTAAGTTAATCTTGGGTGGAACATTTTTTTTTCAAGTCAAACAAAGATGAGAAGAAAACATGTGGTGGAAAAATGAAGTCCTCAGTTGCCCGTAGAGTACATGTTGGCCATCCGCTGGTAAGTCATTTACCTTATCTCACTCGGATGGACCGCAAAGGCTGAAAGTCGCCTGTAGGAGCATCATTAATTCGGCGATTAACCCGATAACGGCTGGGATTTTTTTTTTACCCAGAATGCAGGCTGGAAATGGTTTGGACAAGGCCGACATACAGCGCCCTCAGGTGAAATATACACCAGTCCGACGGCACGATTCCCTCCCCTTAATTTTATCCTTGATTGGCATAGTTAACCGCGTTAGTTTTCGGAAGCGGATGTTCTCTATCTGCACTGATGCGCATGCGCTGTAGAATATAGTGAGCAGCAGAGATTTATTTTTGAAAAACTCTGGTCTGCATTTTTTTCACGTGTTAAATTGCTTTCCTCCTAAAACCCCTCCCCCAACCATTACCACCCCACCCCCCACTTTCACTTCCCTCTCAAGAACTGGTCATAAGATTTTAAAGAAAAAAAAAAACCTCAGCCGTTTATAAAACAAGTTAAGGAACAACAAGCCACTTGGTGTTAATGTGATGGTCTGAAGAGATTTGCCGGGCCTGCAGCAGATCTCTGAGCAGAAGCCAGCACGTGTGTTCAGTCAGATAGAATTTCATCGCTCACAGCCAAGATCCCACTGGGCAGATAAATCTGGCATTTTTTTCTACAACCATTTCCGGTTTGGTGAAAGTCAACATTTCAAAATGGAACCCGCAAAAAAAAAAAATAGAAAAAATATAGTGCTGAAATTTAAGGTCCAATTTAAGACTGTATAACAAACCAGATTATCGCCTTTCAACTTAAGCAACCAATCCAAAACCTTACAACAACATCAACCCTTACAACCAAACAGACGAAACACTTACAACTACACAAACCCCTAACCACAGCCACAACCCATTACAACGAACCACACCAACCCGTCAGAACCACTCCACCCCCTCACTACCACACCAACCCCTCACTACCACACCAACCCCTCACTACCACACCAACCCCTCACTACCACACCAACCCCTCA